ACATACAGATTTTCACAAAATATACCAACATTTCGCATGAGGCATCCGTTTGTGAATCCTACCCTTTTTTCTCTTTTTTTCAACAGCCTGAGATGTAAAAATCACAAATTGAATAAATCATAACAAAACAAAACATGTCAGTCAAAAATTTCTTGTACTATAAAAAATACAAAATAAAGTCAAAGAAACACTTTTTCTTCATTAAAAGAATAAACGTGAAAACACACACATGTAAACAAAAATATAATTTTCTTTCAAAATAATTATAAATACCTGCCAAGTTTACATCCAGGTATATTTAAGCAAATACCGTAATGCCCTTAACATTTATATCAAATTTTTCAGAGTTAAACATTAAAGTATTACAAAACATTGATGCTGATTGATACAGAATTACTCCAACTCCAAGTCCAATCACACAGTCATAGCCTGCGCAGTTCCACAGATAAATTATTGTTTCAGATTTCCCATGGCAAAACTAAAATAACTCTTGGGGACCGTGCTTTTGCTATTGCTGCCCCCCCCCCCAAACTATGGAATAGCTTGCCAATAGAAATACGAAGCACTCCATCTCTCAATGTTTTTAAATCCAATTTAAAAACTTATTTGTTCAACTAAGAGATCTTATTTAATTTGTAGAATTTAGTAAAAAGGAGCTCTTAACCAGCGCAGCTGAATATATTTTGTATAAAAGCTGCGCTATATAAATTTATTATTATTATTATTATTATTTCAAAACCAAAATACTAAAAGGGCGAGATTATTTGTAAACAGAAAAAGAAATGTCGATCAAAGAAAATTTCACCTAGATGTGGAAGAAATTAACATGACTGGTATTCTTGTAATTACTACAACTTCACTGAATGCACTAATGTACAGTTTTATTAACAAGAAGTGTATTAATTAGGCACACTCCTGCTGACACTCTGGATTTACAAAAAACTTTTGCATATTGTTACGCAACTATAACTTTATCATGAGGTAATGAATACTTTAATAAAATTAGTTTGACAATTGTGACATTTAAAATACGTTTACATGTTATTATACATGATCATAACTACCGCATAACTTGATCATGAATTAAGTTATAATTTCAGTAATAATGACTGTCGGAAAAAAAACCTGACTTTTAAACTCCTGCTATAACACTGTGAAATTGAAATCGTGAAGTTTAAATGGAAATAACTAACACAAAATACATTACTTTAAACGAATCACGAAGTAATGATTACCATAATGATAAAAATAGCCTAAAAACTGACAATAAACTCCTGCACTCTGAAAAATAAAGTGTGTAATTTAACAAAACTTTGACATGTTATTATACATAGACATATTCATAAGATACATGTTATCGTGAATTAAAAATCACAGCAACAATAACAATCTTAAATCACCCTGAAACACCGATTAAAAAGTTCTTATGGTTCACAGTTCATATAAACCATATAAACATTCCCCATCAGCATCGTCTTGTGTGCTGTGGTTGGACTGGCGAAGGGTAGCGTACTATTGCGTAGGCATGGCGTACAGTAGCGTAGTATTGCGTAGGGTTGGCGTACAGTAGCGTAGTGTTGCGTAGGGATTGCGTAGGGATGGCGTAGTGTTGCGTAGACTTCCGTACTTTCTGCGTATAGTGTCTACGCCGAAAGGGGCTTTCACACCGGGCCTTGCGTAGAGTTGCGTAGAGTTGCGTAGAGTTGCGTAGCGACTACGCCGATCGTACGCAACCCTACGCCGATCGTACGCAACTCTACGCAACTGTACGCGGAGGGACGCGAATGGGTACGCGAGATGAACGCACAAAATTAAACATGTTTAATTTTTTTCGCGTACCTTCGGCGTAGACTTTACTACGCAACTGTACGCCAAGCCTACGCAAATGTACGCCAAGCCTACGCAACAATACGCTACCCTACGCCAGTCCGACGAAGCATTAAAAATGTATGGTATAAAGATTTTTTTTGGGACCTGGATGTAAACTTGGCAGGTATTGATCATTGATCATTCTTGCTTGTTATTCTGTTTGTACTACTACAAGGTATTTCAGACTGACATGTTTTGTTTTGTTATGGTTTATTCAATTTGTGATAATTGACATCTCAGGCTGTTGATATAATAAACAGAGATAAGATTCATAAACTGATGCCTCATGCGAAAATTTTATAATATTTTGTGGAAATCTGTATGTATTTGTGTCGGTTTGTTTGCTTGTGTGTACATTTGTGGTCCTGTTTGTATGTTTGTAATATAATTTTGAGTGAAAAAAAGAGATATGATCAACAAATATCAGACTTCTGTCCACATTTATTCACAAATCAAAATAAGCGCTCTCTTTTGTTGGCGTTTTGAGGTATCGAATCACATCACGTGACCTTGCAATGTTCATCAAAAGAAAGTTCATATATTACCCTTTTGAATGATACATAGTACAATAATGTAGTACATCAACAAACTAATAAAATCTTGAACAAATTAACATTACTGCAGAATAACCTCAGCAATTGCTAATACCTACTAGCAAAACTGAAAATTTAACGGTCAAAAACGTGTACCAAATGCCGCTTTTTACTATTAAAACTTATGGCAGGTTTATAAATGTTATTTTCTGCACTCACTATTTTACGCAAATTGGCGTTTCAGCCCTATTTCACGCATGCAAAAGAGACCCACTGCCCCTTGGATGTCACAGTTTGTCAGAATGTTATTATTATACTAAGATCAAGTTATGTTCACATGTAATAACATGTACAATTCTTTGTACACTGCACAGTTCATTTTTACAATAAATTGAACAGTATTTTTAACATATTTTTTTATTATATATGTTTATAAAGCGCCAATGGCTATACTCGCGGCTCCTACGAGTGTCTATTGCATTTTTACATGGCATTTTCTCCCACAGTAAGCAACCATACGCAACCGTAAGCAACCCTACGCCAGGCCTACGCAACCGTAAGCAACCCTACGCCAGGCCTACGCAACCGTACGTAACCCTACGCCAATTGCCTACGCCGAAGGTACGCGGTGCCTACGCACAGGGTACGTAACTATACGCCGATCGTACGCAAGCCTACGCATAACCTACGCAGGGACTACGCCGAAGCATCAATTTATTCATGAGTACGCATCTTAACTTCGGCGTAGTCAGTACGCAACACTACGCAACTCTACGCAGATCCGGTGTGAAAGGGGCTTTAGGTACGTGAAAAAATTAAACATGTTTAATTTTTTGCGTCTATCTCGCGTACCCATTTGCGTCCATCCGCGTACAGTTACGTAGGCCGGCGTAGGGTTGCGTACGATCGGCGTAGTCGGTACGCAGCACAACGCAACTATACGCAAGGCCCGGTGTGAAAGCCCTTTAGTTAACGAATTCATTGTGATTGTCTCCGTCATACGCGTACGCATTTGGGGGGGGGGGGGGTTCAACCCCCCCTTCAGTTTTTTTGTTTGTGTGTATTTTAGAGCGAAAACACCCCTTTTTTAATTTTGAATTTGTTATTGTTTTTTTTTTTTTTTTTAATTAAAAAATATATATATTAAAAACAATTATACCGATGGCTGACCTAAAAAAGGTGACCTTACCCAACCCCTCCAACGGAACAAAATGTCAAATTTTCAAATTTCGAGACCAAAAAAAAAAAAAAAAAAAAGTATTCTCTTCCACCCCTCCTTATTTATATTGTATGATAGCAGCTTTAATTTGTGAAACATAGTAAAATGTTACAGTCCTAAAACCTGCAATTTGACACTTTCCGATTACTTCCGGCTCAAGAAAATAAAAAGTGCATTTGTTCATGTACAGTTTTTTATTATGTTATTTTTCAGATTAGTGCCCATACATGCCCAGTCGAATAATTTTGATTAATATTTCAGGAAATTTTGCTATGTTCCCTTTCGCTTGCCTCCTAAAGGCAAGCACTGTGTACTGCTCTTATTATCAGACGAGTGGTAGCAAAAAGCAATTTTCATTACAAAAGCATATATCCCTTTGAAAGTGGCCCGTTAGTTTGCAGCTAGGCATGACATTTTTGTCTACATATCTGCAAGGAAAATCCAGTTAAGCACATGCCTGACATATTTTCTCCTGGCGGCATCGAAGATGGTACAAAGGGAATGAGCTAGATAGGACTCCATCTATTAAAACTTCTTGTTCTAACCTTCAAAATAATTGTTTTTGTTTTTGTTGTGTTTTTTGGGGGAGGAGGGGAATATTTTGTTTAAGGGTTAGCTTGTATATTACATATTAGATATAAATATGTGCAAATATACATTCATATTCATTAGACCACACTAACACTCACGTTTTTCATTCTTCATCTATTTTGGGGATTCTTCCCTTGATTATCAACTTTGGTCGGCAGGATTCAAAGGAAAAAGAGCAGGTAAGAATACTTTGGTATCATCGTCTCTTTATAGTGTATTACAGATTGATTAGAATTAATTGATTAGAACGTAATCATTCAATCCACAGCGTTTTTGGCGGCTTGGGAAGGGAGAGAGCGACGAAAGAAAAGAAAACAAAAGAAAAAATAGAATGGGCTAAAGTTTGGGGAAAGCCAACCTAAATATTCGTCATGAATCGAATGATATTCATATAATATTGGATCGCTTTGAGTGTGATACAAGAATATATTGCTCGAGGTTTGACAATATTGGGTGAGAGGAAGACGAGTCAAATATTGACATAACGAGTGCAATATAATAAATTGCAGATGAGTTGCAATAGGCTCGACGTGTGCCTACGAAGACTTCAGATGAAAATAGAACAGTAAAACAAACAATTAAATGCAGTTCTATGAAAGAGTAAGAGAGGATGTTTAATGAAATAAATGGGGGCTGTTTGAATTTTTGAGGAATAAAATTACAATTTTCTTCTCGTCCGGAGGGCAGTCTAGAAGGTTGTAGATTAATTGTTAGACTTAATTAAGAGCGTCCGGTGGCTCCTTCCCCTGGACGCCCGATAACTTAGGCATCTGCCACTGCAACACGACATGGGCCATGTGGGCCTTTAACAGGGGTTTTGGAGTCCTGGGCCCTAACCGAAAAGATAGAAATCGTTCGCAAGACAAACCTTTATTCTATCAAATTGTCCTTAGGCGAGAGTGTGGGGGTATGTGTGACAGAGAATTGCTTCCTAACAATATAAACCAATAGGGGCAGTGAAAATTTTAAGGCATGGATTAATTTGTTTAATACAAATTTCAAGACAGCTATTATGCAGGTTCTGAATGACTAAAACTCCGAGGCCTGAATTCACAAAGCAAGGTTTGAGCTCAAACCAAGGTTTGAGCTCAAACCTCCTTTTGTTTCGCCAAACCTCCTTTTGTTCTTTACAAACAAGGTTTGTAAAAAAGGTTTGACGTACGAAAACCAAGGTTTGTCGACAAACCTCCTTTGTGAATTCGGGCCCGAGCGTCTGTTTACCTGTCATTCATGCATTTACACGGAAACTGTGAATGTAAAGATTCGTCAAATTAAGGAGATTTTCTCTCCTCTCTGCAGTTGGATGTTCTCTTACCTGTGAGAACGGAGGGAGCTGTAATACCGCAGGCGATGCATGTGAATGTGTAGCGGGATTTACTGGAGACTTGTGTACAGGTATGAAAATCTATTGTAGCATCAGATATTTAATGTCAAGAAATGGTTTGTTTTCAAAGGGAATTAATTGACGAGTAATAAAAACGATGATTTCAGTCATGATTATACGCTAATATCGTGCTCTTAACCTCTGCATATGTGTCAAAATTAACATTTATAACTATCAAACACAGCAATCACCCCCCTCCCCTCTCCCAAAAATAGAGTGGGCTAAAGTTTGGGGAAAGCCAACCTACATGTTAATTTGACAGTGTTTAATATATTCTAAATATTCATTCTAAATATGTTTACTCTATATTATTTTGATATATTATTATCGTCATTCATGCATTTTCAACTGAACGGTGAATTTAAATATTCGTCATGAATTGAATGATATTCATATAATATTGGATCGCTTTGAGTGTGATACAAAAATATATTGCTCGAGCTTCGACAATATTGGACGAGTGGAAGACAAGTCCAATATTAACATAACTAGAGCAATATAATAAATTGCAGATGAGTGGCAATAGGCTCGACGTGTGCCTACAAAGAATTCAGATGGAAGTAGAACAGTAAAACAAACAATTAAATGCAGTTCTATGAAAGAGTAAAAGAGGATGTTAAATGAAATAAATGGGGGCTGTTTGAATTTTCAAGAATAAAATTACAATTTTCTACTCGGCAGAAGGGCAATCTTAAAGGTTGTAGATTAATGTAAGACTTAATTAAGAGCGTCCAGTGGTTCCTTCCCCTGGACGCCCGATAACTTAGGCATCTGCCACTGCTACACGACATGGGCGATGTGGGCCTTTAATAGGAGTTTTGGAGTCCTGGGCCTTAACCGAAAAGACAGAAATCGTTCGCAAGACAAACCTTTATTCTATCAAATTGTCCTTAGGCGATAGTGTGGGAGTATGTGTGACAGAGAATTGCTTCCTAACAATATAAACCAATAGGGGCAGTGAACATTTTAAGGCATGGATTAATTTGTTTAATACAAATTTCAAGACGGCTATTATGAAGGTTCTGAATTACTAAAACTCCAAGCGTCTGTATACCTGTCATTCATGCATTTCAACGTGAATGACGAATTAAGGATATTTTCTCTCCTCACTGCAGTTGGATGTTCTCTTACCTGTGAGAACGGAGGGACCTGTAATACCGCGGGCGATGCATGTGAATGTGTAGCGGGATTTACTGGAGACTTGTGTACAGGTATGAAAAGTTATTGTAGCATCAGAAATTTAACGTCAAGAAATGGTTTGGTTTCAAAGGGCGAGTAATAAAAACGATGATTTCAGTCATGATATACGCTAATATTGTGCTCTTAACCTCTGCATATATGTCAAAAATAACATTTATAACTATCAAACACAGCAATCACCCCCCCTCCCCTCTCCCAAAAAAAGAGTGGGCTAAAGTTTGGGGAAAGCAAACCTACATGTTAATTGGACAGTGTTTAATATATTCTAAATATTCATTCTAAATGTGTTTACTCTATATTATTTTGATATATTATTATCGTCATTCATGCTTTTTCAACTGAACGGTGAATATAAAGATTCGTCATGAATTGAATGATATTCATATAATATTGGATCGCTTTGAATGTGATACAAGAATATATTGCTCGAGCTTCGACAATATTGGACGAGTTGAAGACGAGTCTAATATTAACATAACTTGAGCAATATAATAAACTGCAGATGAGTGGCAATAGGGTCGACGTGTGCCTACGAAGAATTCAGATGAAAGTAGAACAGTAAAACAAACAATTAAATGCAGTTAGGTGAAAGAGTAAGAGAGGATGTTTAATGAAATAAATGGGGGTTGTTTGAATTTTCAAGAATATAATTACAATTTTCTACTCGGAGGGAGGGCAATCTTGAAGGTTGTAGGTTAATCGTTAGACTTAATTAAGAGCGTTCGGTGGCTCCTTCCCCTGTACGCCCGATAACTTAGGCATCTGCCACTGCTACACGACATGGGCCATGTGGGCCTTTAATAGGGGTTTTTGAGTCGTGGCCTTAACCGAAAAGACAGAAATCGTTCGCAAGACAAACCTTTATTCTATCAAATTGTCCTTAGGCGAGAGTGTGGGAGTATGTGTGACAGAGAATTGCTTCCTAACAATATAAACCAATAGGGGCAGTGAACATTTTAAGGCATGGATTAATTTGTTTAATACAAATTTCAAGACGGCTTTTATGAAGGTTCTGGATTACTAAAACTCCAAGCGTCTGTATACCTGTCATTCATGCATTTCCACGTGAATGGTGAATGTAAAAATTCGTCAAATTAAGGATATTTTCTCTCCTCTCTGCAGTTGGATGTTCTCTTACCTGTGAGAACGGAGGGAGCTGTAATACCGCAGGCGATGCATGTGAATGTGTAGCGGGATTTACTGGAGACTTGTGTACAGGTATGAAAATCTATTGTAGCATCAGATATTTAATGTCAAGAAATGGTTTGTTTTCAAAGGGAATTAATTGACGAGTAATAAAAACGATGATTTCAGTCATGATTATACGCTAATATCGTGCTCTTAACCTCTGCATATGTGTCAAAATTAACATTTATAACTATCAAACACAGCAATCACCCCCCCTCCCCTCTCCCAAAAATAGAGTGGGCTAAAGTTTGGGGAAAGCCAACCTACATGTTAATTTGACAGTGTTTAATATATTCTAAATATTCATTCTAAATATGTTTACTCTATATTATTTTGATATATTATTATCGTCATTCATGCATTTTCAACTGAACGGTGAATTTAAATATTCGTCATGAATTGAATGATATTCATATAATATTGGATCGCTTTGAGTGTGATACAAAAATATATTGCTCGAGCTTCGACAATATTGGACGAGTGGAAGACAAGTCCAATATTAACATAACTAGAGCAATATAATAAATTGCAGATGAGTGGCAATAGGCTCGACGTGTGCCTACGAAGAATTCAGATGGAAGTAGAACAGTAAAACAAACAATTAAATGCAGTTCTATGAAAGAGTAAAAGAGGATGTTAAATGAAATAAATGGGGGCTGTTTGAATTTTCAAGAATAAAATTACAATTTTCTACTCGGCAGAAGGGCAATCTTAAAGGTTGTAGATTAATGTAAGACTTAATTAAGAGCGTCCGGTGGTTCCTTCCCCTGGACGCCCGATAACTTAGGCATCTGCCACTGCTACACGACATGGGCGATGTGGGCCTTTAATAGGAGTTTTGGAGTCCTGGGCCTTAACCGAAAAGACAGAAATCGTTCGCAAGATAAACCTTTATTCTATCAAATTGTCCTTAGGCGAGAGTGTGGGGGTATGTGTGACAGAGAATTGCTTCCTAACAATATAAACCAATAGGGGCAGTGAACATTTTAAGGCATGGATTAATTTGTTTAATACAAATTTCAAGACAGCTATTATGCAGGTTCTGAATTACTAAAACTCCAAGCGTCTGTATACCTGTCATTCATGCATTTCCACGTGAATGGTGAATGTAAAAATTCGTCAAATTAAGGATATTTTCTCTCCTCTCTGCAGTTGGATGTTCTCTTACCTGTGAGAACGGAGGGACCTGTAATACCGCAGGCGATGCATGTGAATGTGTAGCGGGATTTACTGGAGACTTGTGTACAGGTATGAAAAGTTATTGTAGCATCAGAAATTTAACGTCAAGAAATGGTTTAGTTTCAAAGGGAATTAATTGACGAGTAATAAAAACGATGATTTCAGTCATGATATACGCTAATATTGTGCTCTTAACCTCTGCATATATGTCAAAAATAACATTTATAACTATCAAACACAGCAATCACCCCCCCCCTCCCCTCTCCCAAAAAAAGAGTGGGCTAAAGTTTCGGGAAAGCCAACCTACATGTTAATTGGACAGTGTTTAATATATTCTAAATATTCATTCTAAATGTGTTTACTCTATATTATTTTGATATATTATTATCGTCATTCATGCTTTTTCAACTGAACGGTGAATATAAAGATTCGTCATGAATTGAATGATATTCATATAATATTGGATCGCTTTGAATGTGATACAAGAATATATTGCTCGAGCTTCGACAATATTGGACGAGTTGAAGACGAGTCTAATATTAACATAACTTGAGCAATATAATAAACTGCAGATGAGTGGCAATAGGGTCGACGTGTGCCTACGAAGAATTCAGATGAAAGTAGAACAGTAAAACAAACAATTAAATGCAGTTAGGTGAAAGAGTAAGAGAGGATGTTTAATGAAATAAATGGGGGTTGTTTGAATTTTCAAGAATATAATTACAATTTTCTACTCGGAGGGAGGGCAATCTTGAAGGTTGTAGGTTAATCGTTAGACTTAATTAAGAGCGTCCGGTGGTTCCTTACCCTGGACGCCCGATAACTTAGGCATCTGCCACTGCTACACGACATGGGCCATGTGGGCCTTTAATAGGGGTTTTGGAGTCGTGGGCCTTAACCGAAAAGACAGAAATCGTTCGCAAGACAAACCTTTATTCTATCAAATTGTCCTTTGGCGAGAGTGTGGGAGTATGTGTGACAGAGAATTGCTTCCTAACAATATAAACCAATAGGGGCAGTGAACATTTTAAGGCATGGATTAATTTGTTTAATACAAATTTCAAGACGGCTTTTATGAAGGTTCTGGATTACTAAAACTCCAAGCGTCTGTATACCTGTCATTCATGCATTTCAACGTGAATGACGAATTAAGGATATTTTCTCTCCTCTCTGCAGTTGGATGTTCTCTTACCTGTGAGAACGGAGGGACCTGTAATACCGCGGGCGATGCATGTGAATGTGTAGCGGGATTTACTGGAGACTTGTGTACAGGTATGAAAAGTTATTGTAGCATCAGAAATTTAACGTCAAGAAATGGTTTGGTTTCAAAGGGAATTAATTGACGAGTAATAAAAACGATGATTTCAGTCATGATATACGCTAATATTGTGCTCTTAACCTCTGCATATATGTCAAAAATAACATTTATAACTACCAAACACAGCAATCACCCCCCCTCCCCTCTCCCAAAAAAAGAGTGGGCTAAAGTTTGGGGAAAGCAAACCTACATGTTAATTGGACAGTGTTTAATATATTCTAAATATTCATTCTAAATGTGTTTACTCTATATTATTTTGATATATTATTATCGTCATTCATGCTTTTTCAACTGAACGGTGAATATAAAGATTCGTCATGAATTGAATGATATTCATATAATATTGGATCGCTTTGAATGTGATACAAGAATATATTGCTCGAGCTTCGACAATATTGGACGAGTTGAAGACGAGTCTAATATTAACATAACTTGAGCAATATAATAAACTGCAGATGAGTGGCAATAGGGTCGACGTGTGCCTACGAAGAATTCAGATGAAAGTAGAACAGTAAAACAAACAATTAAATGCAGTTAGGTGAAAGAGTAAGAGAGGATGTTTAATGAAATAAATGGGGGTTGTTTGAATTTTCAAGAATATAATTACAATTTTCTACTCGGAGGGAGGGCAATCTTGAAGGTTGTAGGTTAATCGTTAGACTTAATTAAGAGCGTTCGGTGGCTCCTTCCCCTGTACGCCCGATAACGTAGGCATCTGCCACTGCTACACGACATGGGCCATGTGGGCCTTTAATAGGGGTTTTGGAGTCGTGGCCTTAACCGAAAAGACAGAAATCGTTCGCAAGACAAACCTTTATTCTATCAAATTGTCCTTAGGCGAGAGTGTGGGAGTATGTGTGACAGAGAATTGCTTCCTAACAATATAAACCAATAGGGGCAGTGAACATTTTAAGGCATGGATTAATTTGTTTAATACAAATTTCAAGACGGCTTTTATGAAGGTTCTGGATTACTAAAACTCCAAGCGTCTGTATACCTGTCATTCATGCATTTCCACGTGAATGGTGAATGTAAAAATTCGTCAAATTAAGGATATTTTCTCTCCTCTCTGCAGTTGGATGTTCTCTTACCTGTGAGAACGGAGGGAGCTGTAATACCGCAGGCGATGCATGTGAATGTGTAGCGGGATTTACTGGAGACTTGTGTACAGGTATGAAAATCTATTGTAGCATCAGATATTTAATGTCAAGAAATGGTTTGTTTTCAAAGGGAATTAATTGACGAGTAATAAAAACGATGATTTCAGTCATGATTATACGCTAATATCGTGCTCTTAACCTCTGCATATGTGTCAAAATTAACATTTATAACTATCAAACACAGCAATCACCCCCCCTCCCCTCTCCCAAAAATAGAGTGGGCTAAAGTTTGGGGAAAGCCAACCTACATGTTAATTTGACAGTGTTTAATATATTCTAAATATTCATTCTAAATATGTTTACTCTATATTATTTTGATATATTATTATCGTCATTCATGCATTTTCAACTGAACGGTGAATTTAAATATTCGTCATGAATTGAATGATATTCATATAATATTGGATCGCTTTGAGTGTGATACAAAAATATATTGCTCGAGCTTCGACAATATTGGACGAGTGGAAGACAAGTCCAATATTAACATAACTAGAGCAATATAATAAACTGCAGATGAGTGGCAATAGGGTCGACGTGTGCCTACGAAGAATTCAGATGAAAGTAGAACAGTAAAACAAACAATTAAATGCAGTTAGGTGAAAGAGTAAGAGAGGATGTTTAATGAAATAAATGGGGGTTGTTTGAATTTTCAAGAATATAATTACAATTTTCTACTCGGAGGGAGGGCAATCTTGAAGGTTGTAGGTTAATCGTTAGACTTAATTAAGAGCGTCCGGTGGTTCCTTACCCTGGACGCCCGATAACTTAGGCATCTGCCACTGCTACACGACATGGGCCATGTGGGCCTTTAATAGGGGTTTTGGAGTCGTGGGCCTTAACCGAAAAGACAGAAATCGTTCGCAAGACAAACCTTTATTCTATCAAATTGTCCTTTGGCGAGAGTGTGGGAGTATGTGTGACAGAGAATTGCTTCCTAACAATATAAACCAATAGGGGCAGTGAACATTTTAAGGCATGGATTAATTTGTTTAATACAAATTTCAAGACGGCTTTTATGAAGGTTCTGGATTACTAAAACTCCAAGCGTCTGTATACCTGTCATTCATGCATTTCCACGTGAATGGTGAATGTAAAAATTCGTCAAATTAAGGATATTTTCTCTCCTCTCTGCAGTTGGATGTTCTCTTACCTGTGAGAACGGAGGGAGCTGTAATACCGCAGGCGATGCCTGTGAATGTGTAGCGGGATTTACTGGAGACTTGTGTACAGGTATGAAAATCTATTGTAGCATCTGAAATTTAACGTCAATAAATGGTTTGTTTTCAAGGGGAATTAATTGACGAGTAAAAATAACGATGATTTCAGTCATGATATACGCTAATATCGTGCTCTTAACCTCTGCATATGTGTCAAAATCAACATTTATAACTATCAAACACAGCAATCACCCCCCCCTCCCATCTCCCAAAAATTGAGTGGGCTAAAGTTTGGGGAAAGCCAACCTACATGTTAATTTGACAGTGTTTAATATATTCTTAATATTCATTCTAAATATGTTTACTCTATATTATTTTGATATATTATTATCGTCATTCATGCATTTTCAACTGAACGGTGAATTTAAAGATTGGTCATGAATTGAATGATATTCATATAATATTGGATGGCTGTGAGTGTGATACAATAATATATTGCTCGAGCTTCGACAATATTGGACGAGTGGAAGACGAGTCCAATATTAACATAACTAGAGCAATATAATAAATTGCAGATGAGTGGCAATAGGCTCGACGTGTGCCTACGAAGAATTCAGATGAAAGTAGAACAGTAAAACAAACAATTAAATGCAGTTCTATGAAAGAGTAAGAGAGGATGATAAATGAAATAAATGGGGGCTGTTTGAATTTTCAAGAATAAAATTACAATTTTCTACTCGGCAGAAGGGCAATCTTAAAGGTTGTAGATTAATGTTAGACTTAATTAAGAGCGTCCGGTGGTTCCTTCCCCTGGACGCCCGATAACTTAGGCATCTGCCACTGCTACACGACATGGGCCATGTGGGCCTTTAATAGGAGTTTTGGAGTCGTGGGCCTTAACCGAAAAGACAGAAATCGTTCGCAAGACAAACCTTTATTCTATCAAATTGTCCTTAGGCGAGAGTGTGGGGGTATGTGTGACAGAGAATTGCTTCCTAACAATATAAACCAATAGGAGCAGTGAACATTTTAAGGCATGGATTAATTTGTTTAATACAAATTTCAAGACGGCTATTATGAAGGTTCTAAATTACTAGAACTCCAAGCGTCTGTATACCTGTCATTCATGCATTTCAACATGAATGATGAATGTAAAAATTCGTCAAATTTAGGATATTTTCTCTCCTCTCTGCAGTTGGATGTTCTCTTACCTGTGAGAACGGAGGGAGCTGTAATACTGCAGGCGATGCATGTGAATGTGTAGCGGGATTTACTGGAGACTTGTGTACAGGTATGAAAAGTTATTGTAGCATCAGAAATTTAACGTCAAGAAATGGTTTGATTTCAAAGGGAATTAAATGACGAGTAAAAAAACGATGATTTCAGTCATGATTATACGCTAATATCGTGCTGTTAACCTCTGCATATGTGTCAAAATCAACATTTATAACTATCAAACACAGCAATCACCCCCCCCCCCCTCCAATCTCCCTAAAATTGAGTGGGCTAAAGTTTGGGGAAAGCCAACCTACATGTTAATTTGACAGTGTTTAATATATTCTTAATATTCATTCTAAATATGTTTACTCTATATTATTTTGATATATTATTCTCGTCATTCATGCATTTTCAACTGAACGGTGAATTTAAAGATTGGTCATGAATTGAATGATATTCATATAATATTGGATCGCTTTGAGTGTGATACAATAATATATTGCTCGAGCTTCGACAATATTGGACGAGTGGAAGACGAGTCCAATATTAACATAACTAGAGCAATATAATAAATTGCAGATGAGTGGCAATAGGCTCGACGTGTGCCTACGAAGAATTCAGATGAAAGTAGAACAGTAAAACAAACAATTAAATGCAGTTCTATGAAAGAGTAAGAGAGGATGATAAATGAAATAAATGGGGGCTGTTTTAATTTTCAAGAATAAAATTACAATTTTCTACTCGGCAGAAGGGCAATCTTAAAGGTTGTAGATTAATGTTAGACTTAATTAAGAGCGTCCGGTGGTTCCTTCCCCTGGACGCCCGATAACTTAGGCATCTGCCACTGCTACACGACATGGGCCATGTGGGCCTTTAATAGGAGTTTTGGAGTCCTGGGCCTTAACCGAAAAGACAGAAATCGTTCGCAAGATAAACCTTTATTCTATCAAATTGTCCTTAGGCGAGAGTGTGGGGGTATGTGTGACAGAGAATTGCTTCCTAACAATATAAACCAATAGAAGCAGTGAACATTTTAAGGCATGGATTAATTTGTTTAATACAAATTTCAAGACGGCTATTATGAAGGTTCTGAATTACTAAAACTCCAAGCGTCTGTATACCTGTCATTCATGCATTTCAACGTGAATGATGAATGTAAAAATTCGTCAAATTAAGGATATTTTCTCTCCTCTCTGCAGTTGGATGTTCTCTTACCTGTGAGAACGGAGGTAGCTGTAATACCGCAGGCGATGCCTGTGAATGTGTAGCGGGATTTACTGGAGACTTGTGTACAGGTATGAAAATCTATTGTAGCATCAGAAATTTAACGTCAAGAAATGGTTTGTTTTCAAAGGGAATTAATTGACGAGTAATAAAAACGATGATTTCAGTCATGATATACGCTGATATTGTGCTCTTAACCCCTGCATATGTGTCAAAATCAACATTTATAACTATCAAACACAGCATTCACCCCCCCCTCCCATCTCCCAAAAACTGAGTGGGCTAAAGTTTGGGGAAAGCCAACCTACATGTTAATTTGACAGTGTTTAATATATTCTAAATATTCATTCTAAATATGTTTACTCTATATTATTTTGATATATTATTATCGTCATTCATGCATTTTCAACTGAACGGTGAATTTAAAGATTGGTCATGAATTGAATGATATTCATATAATATTGAATCGCTTTGAGTGTGATACAATAATATATTGCTCGAGCTTCGACAATATTGGACGAGTGGAAGACAAGTCCAATATTAACATAACTAGAGCAATATAATAAATTGCAGATGAGTGGCAATAGGCTCGACGTGTGCCTACGAAGAATTCAGATGAAAGTAGAACAGTAAAACAAACAATTAAATGCAGTTCTATGAAAGAGTAAAAGAGGATGTTAAATAAAATAAATGGGGGCTGTTTAAATTTTCAAGAATAAAATTACAATTTTCTACTCGGCAGAAGGGCAATCTTAAAGGTTGTAGATTAATGTTAGACTTAATTAAGAGCGTCCGGTGGTTCCTTCCCCTGGACGCCCGATAACTTAGGCATCTGCCACTGCTACACGACATGGGCGATGTGGGCCTTTAATAGGAGTTTTGGAGTCCTGGGCCTTAACCGAAAAGACAGAAATCGTTCGCAAGACAAACCTTTATTCTATCAAATTGTCCTTAGGCGAGAGTGTGGGGGTATGTGTGACAGAGAATTGCTTCCTAACAATATAAACCAATAGGAGCAGTGAACATTTTAAGGCATGGATTAATTTGTTTAATACAAATTTCAAGACGGCTATTATGAAGGTTCTGAATTACTAAAACTCCAAGCGTCTGTATACCTGTCATTCATGCATTTCAACTTGAATGATGAATGTAAAAATTCGTCAAATTAAGGATATTTTCTCTCCTCTCTGCAGTTGGATGTTCTCTTACCTGTGAGAACGGAGGGAGCTGTAATACCGCAGGCGATGCATGTGAATGTGTAGCGGGATTTACTGGAGACTTGTGTACAGGTATGAAAATCTATTGTAGCATCAGAAATTTAACGTCAAGAAATGGTTTGATTTCAAAGGGAATTAATAGACGAGTAATAAAAACGATGATTTCAGTCATGATATACGCTAATATCGTGCTGTTAACCTCTGCATATGTGTCAAAATCAACATTTATAACTATCAAACACAGCAATCACCCCCCCTCCCATCTCCCAAAAATTGAGTGGGCTAAAGTTTGGGGAAAGCCAACCTACATGTTAATTTGACAGTGTTTAATATATTCTAAATATTCATTCTAAATATGTTTACTCTATATTATTTTGATATATTATTATCGTCATTCATGCATTTTCAACTGAACGGTGAATTTAAAGATTGGTCATGAATTGAATGATATTCATATAATATTGGATCGCTTTGAGTGTGACACAATAATATATTGCTCGAGCTTCGACAATATTGGACGAGTGGAAGACGAGTCCAATATTAACATAACTAGAGCAATATAATAAATTGCAGATGAGTGGCAATAGGCTCGACGTGTGCCTACTAAGAATTCAGATGGAAGTAGAACAGTAAAACAAACAATTAAATGCAGTTCTATGAAAGAGTAAGAAAGGATGTTAAATAAAATAAATGGGGGCTGTTTGAATTTTCAAGAATAAAATTACAATTTTCTACTCGGCAGAAGGGCAATCTTAAAGGTTGTAGATTAATGTTAGACTTAATTAAGAGCGTCCGGTGGTTCCTTACCCTGGACGCCCGATAACTTAGGCATCTGCCACTGCTACACGACATGGGCCATGTGGGCCTTTAATAGGAGTTTTGGAGTCGTGGGCCTTAACCGAAAAGACAGACATCGTTAGCAAGACAAACCTTTATTCTATCAAATTGTCCTTAGGCGAGAGTGTGGGGGTATGTGTGACAGAGAATTGCTTCCTAACAATATAAACCAATAGGAGCAGTGAACATTTTAAGGCACGGATTAATTTGTTTAATACAAATTTCAAGACGGCTTTTATGAAGGTTCTGGATTACTAAAACTCCAAGCGTCTGTATACCTGTCATTCATGCATTTACACGTGAATGGTGAATGTAAAAATTCGTCAAATTAAGGATATTTTCTCTCCTCTCTGCAGTTGGATGTTCTCTTACCTGTGAGAACGGAGGGAGCTGTAATACCGCAGGCGATGCCTGTGAATGTGTAGCGGGATTTACTGGAGACTTGTGTACAGGTATGAAAATCTATTGTAGCATCAGAAATTTAACGCAATAAATGGTTTGTTTTCAAGGGGAATTAAATGACGAGTAAAAATAACGATGATTTCAGTCATGATTATACGCTAATATCGTGCTGTTAACCTCTGCATATGTGTCAAAATCAACATTTATAACTATCAAACACAGCAATCACCCCCCCCTCCCATCTCCCTAAAATTGAGTGGGCTAAAGTTTGGGGAAAGCCAACCTACATGTTAATTTGACAGTGTTTAATATATTCTTAATATTCATTCTAAATATGTTTACTCTATATTATTTTGATATATTATTATCGTCATTCATGCATTTTCAACTGAACGGTGAATTTAAAGATTGGTCATGAATTGAATGATATTCATATAATATTGGATCGCTTTGAGTGTGATACAATAATATATTGCTCGAGCTTCGACAATATTGGACGAGTGGAAGACGAGTCCAATATTAACATAACTAGAGCAATATAATAAATTGCAGATGAGTGGCAATAGGCTCGACGTGTGCCTACGAAGAATTCAGATGAAAGTAGAACAGTAAAACAAACAATTAAATGCAGTTCTATGAAAGAGTAAGAGAGGATGATAAATGAAATAAATGGGGGCTGTTTTAATTTTCAAGAATAAAATTACAATTTTCTACTCGGCAGAAGGGCAATCTTAAAGGTTGTAGATTAATGTTAGACTTAATTAAGAGCGTCCGGTGGTTCCTTCCCCTGGACGCCCGATAACTTAGGCATCTGCCACTGCTACACGACATGGGCCATGTGGGCCTTTAATAGGAGTTTTGGAGTCCTGGGCCTTAACCGAAAAGACAGAAATCGTTCGCAAGATAAACCTTTATTCTATCAAATTGTCCTTAGGCGAGAGTGTGGGGGTATGTGTGACAGAGAATTGCTTCCTAACAATATAAACCAATAGAAGCAGTGAACATTTTAAGGCATGGATTAATTTGTTTAATACAAATTTCAAGACGGCTATTATGAAGGTTCTGAATTACTAAAACTCCAAGCGTCTGTATACCTGTCATTCATGCATTTCAACGTGAATGATGAATGTAAAAATTCGTCAAATTAAGGATATTTTCTCTCCTCTCTGCAGTTGGATGTTCTCTTACCTGTGAGAACGGAGGTAGCTGTAATACCGCAGGCGATGCCTGTGAATGTGTAGCGGGATTTACTGGAGACTTGTGTACAGGTATGAAAATCTATTGTAGCATCAGAAATTTAACGTCAAGAAATGGTTTGTTTTCAAAGGGAATTAATTGACGAGTAATAAAAACGATGATTTCAGTCATGATATACGCTGATATTGTGCTCTTAACCCCTGCATATGTGTCAAAATCAACATTTATAACTATCAAACACAGCATTCACCCCCCCCCCTCCCATCTCCCAAAAACTGAGTGGGCTAAAGTTTGGGGAAAGCCAACCTACATGTTAATTTGACAGTGTTTAATATATTCTAAATATTCATTCTAAATATGTTTACTCTATATTATTTTGATATATTATTATCGTCATTCATGCATTTTCAACTGAACGGTGAATTTAAAGATTGGTCATGAATTGAATGATATTCATATAATATTGGATCGCTTTGAGTGTGACACAATAATATATTGCTCGAGCTTCGACAATATTGGACGAGTGGAAGACGAGTCCAATATTAACATAACTAGAGCAATATAATAAATTGCAGATGAGTGGCAATAGGCTCGACGTGTGCCTACTAAGAATTCAGATGGAAGTAGAACAGTAAAACAAACAATTAAATGCAGTTCTATGAAAGAGTAAGAAAGGATGTTAAATAAAATAAATGGGGGCTGTTTGAATTTTCAAGAATAAAATTACAATTTTCTACTCGGCAGAAGGGCAATCTTAAAGGTTGTAGATTAATGTTAGACTTAATTAAGAGCGTCCGGTGGTTCCTTACCCTGGACGCCCGATAACTTAGGCATCTGCCACTGCTACACGACATGGGCCATGTGGGCCTTTAATAGGAGTTTTGGAGTCGTGGGCCTTAACCGAAAAGACAGACATCGTTAGCAAGACAAACCTTTATTCTATCAAATTGTCCTTAGGCGAGAGTGTGGGGGTATGTGTGACAGAGAATTGCTTCCTAACAATATAAACCAATAGGAGCAGTGAACATTTTAAGGCACGGATTAATTTGTTTAATACAAATTTCAAGACGGCTTTTATGAAGGTTCTGGATTACTAAAACTCCAAGCGTCTGTATACCTGTCATTCATGCATTTACACGTGAATGGTGAATGTAAAAATTCGTCAAATTAAGGATATTTTCTCTCCTCTCTGCAGTTGGATGTTCTCTTACCTGTGAGAACGGAGGGAGCTGTAATACCGCAGGCGATGCCTGTGAATGTGTAGCGGGATTTACTGGAGACTTGTGTACAGGTATGAAAATCTATTGTAGCATCAGAAATTTAACGCAATAAATGGTTTGTTTTCAAGGGAATTAAATGACGAGTAAAATAACGATGATTTCAGTCATGATTATACGCTAATATCGTGCTGTTAACCTCTGCATATGTGTCAAAATCAACATTTATAACTATCAAACACAGCAATCACCCCCCCCTCCCATCTCCCTAAAATTGAGTGGGCTAAAGTTTGGGGAAAGCCAACCTACATGTTAATTTGACAGTGTTTAATATATTCTTAATATTCATTCTAAATATGTTTACTCTATATTATTTTGATATATTATTATCGTCATTCATGCATTTTCAACTGAACGGTGAATTTAAAGATTGGTCATGAATTGAATGATATTCATATAATATTGGATCGCTTTGAGTGTGATACAATAATATATTGCTCGAGCTTCGACAATATTGGACGAGTGGAAGACGAGTCCAATATTAACATAACTAGAGCAATATAATAAATTGCAGATGAGTGGCAATAGGCTCGACGTGTGCCTACGAAGAATTCAGATGAAAGTAGAACAGTAAAACAAACAATTAAATGCAGTTCTATGAAAGAGTAAGAGAGGATGATAAATGAAATAAATGGGGGCTGTTTTAATTTTCAAGAATAAAATTACAATTTTCTACTCGGCAGAAGGGCAATCTTAAAGGTTGTAGATTAATGTTAGACTTAATTAAGAGCGTCCGGTGGTTCCTTCCCCTGGACGCCCGATAACTTAGGCATCTGCCACTGCTACACGACATGGGCCATGTGGGCCTTTAATAGGAGTTTTGGAGTCCTGGGCCTTAACCGAAAAGACAGAAATCGTTCGCAAGATAAACCTTTATTCTATCAAATTGTCCTTAGGCGAGAGTGTGGGGGTATGTGTGACAGAGAATTGCTTCCTAACAATATAAACCAATAGAAGCAGTGAACATTTTAAGGCATGGATTAATTTGTTTAATACAAATTTCAAGACGGCTATTATGAAGGTTCTGAATTACTAAAACTCCAAGCGTCTGTATACCTGTCATTCATGCATTTCAACGTGAATGATGAATGTAAAAATTCGTCAAATTAAGGATATTTTCTCTCCTCTCTGCAGTTGGATGTTCTCTTACCTGTGAGAACGGAGGTAGCTGTAATACCGCAGGCGATGCCTGTGAATGTGTAGCGGGATTTACTGGAGACTTGTGTACAGGTATGAAAATCTATTGTAGCATCAGAAATTTAACGTCAAGAAATGGTTTGTTTTCAAAGGGAATTAATTGACGAGTAATAAAAACGATGATTTCAGTCATGATATACGCTGATATTGTGCTCTTAACCCCTGCATATGTGTCAAAATCAACATTTATAACTATCAAACACAGCATTCACCCCCCCCCCTCCCATCTCCCAAAAACTGAGTGGGCTAAAGTTTGGGGAAAGCCAACCTACATGTTAATTTGACAGTGTTTAATATATTCTAAATATTCATTCTAAATATGTTTACTCTATATTATTTTGATATATTATTATCGTCATTCATGCATTTTCAACTGAACGGTGAATTTAAAGATTGGTCATGAATTGAATGATATTCATATAATATTGAATCGCTTTGAGTGTGATACAATAATATATTGCTCGAGCTTCGACAATATTGGACGAGTGGAAGACAAGTCCAATATTAACATAACTAGAGCAATATAATAAATTGCAGATGAGTGGCAATAGGCTCGACGTGTGCCTACGAAGAATTCAGATGAAAGTAGAACAGTAAAACAAACAATTAAATGCAGTTCTATGAAAGAGTAAAAGAGGATGTTAAATAAAATAAATGGGGGCTGTTTAAATTTTCAAGAATAAAATTACAATTTTCTACTCGGCAGAAGGGCAATCTTAAAGGTTGTAGATTAATGTTAGACTTAATTAAGAGCGTCCGGTGGTTCCTTCCCCTGGACGCCCGATAACTTAGGCATCTGCCACTGCTACACGACATGGGCGATGTGGGCCTTTAATAGGAGTTTTGGAGTCCTGGGCCTTAACCGAAAAGACAGAAATCGTTCGCAAGACAAACCTTTATTCTATCAAATTGTCCTTAGGCGAGAGTGTGGGGGTATGTGTGACAGAGAATTGCTTCCTAACAATATAAACCAATAGGAGCAGTGAACATTTTAAGGCATGGATTAATTTGTTTAATACAAATTTCAAGACGGCTATTATGAAGGTTCTGAATTACTAAAACTCCAAGCGTCTGTATACCTGTCATTCATGCATTTCAACTTGAATGATGAATGTAAAAATTCGTCAAATTAAGGATATTTTCTCTCCTCTCTGCAGTTGGATGTTCTCTTACCTGTGAGAACGGAGGGAGCTGTAATACCGCAGGCGATGCATGTGAATGTGTAGCGGGATTTACTGGAGACTTGTGTACAGGTATGAAAATCTATTGTAGCATCAGAAATTTAACGTCAAGAAATGGTTTGATTTCAAAGGGAATTAATAGACGAGTAATAAAAACGATGATTTCAGTCATGATATACGCTAATATCGTGCTGTTAACCTCTGCATATGTGTCAAAATCAACATTTATAACTATCAAACACAGCAATCACCCCCCCTCCCATCTCCCAAAAATTGAGTGGGCTAAAGTTTGGGGAAAGCCAACCTACATGTTAATTTGACAGTGTTTAATATATTCTAAATATTCATTCTAAATATGTTTACTCTATATTATTTTGATATATTATTATCGTCATTCATGCATTTTCAACTGAACGGTGAATTTAAAGATTGGTCATGAATTGAATGATATTCATATAATATTGGATCGCTTTGAGTGTGATACAATAATATATTGCTCGAGCTTCGACAATATTGGACGAGTGGAAGACGAGTCCAATATTAACATAACTAGAGCAATATAATAAATTGCAGATGAGTGGCAATAGGCTCGACGTGTGCCTACTAAGAATTCAGATGGAAGTAGAACAGTAAAACAAACAATTAAATGCAGTTCTATGAAAGAGTAAGAAAGGATGTTAAATAAAATAAATGGGGGCTGTTTGAATTTTCAAGAATAAAATTACAATTTTCTACTCGGCAGAAGGGCAATCTTAAAGGTTGTAGATTAATGTTAGACTTAATTAAGAGCGTCCGGTGGTTCCTTACCCTGGACGCCCGATAACTTAGGCATCTGCCACTGCTACACGACATGGGCCATGTGGGCCTTTAATAGGAGTTTTGGAGTCGTGGGCCTTAACCGAAAAGACAGACATCGTTAGCAAGACAAACCTTTATTCTATCAAATTGTCCTTAGGCGAGAGTGTGGGGGTATGTGTGACAGAGAATTGCTTCCTAATAATATAAACCAATAGGAGCAGTGAACATTTTAAGGCACGGATTAATTTGTTTAATACAAATTTCAAGACGGCTTTTATGAAGGTTCTGGATTACTAAAACTCCAAGCGTCTGTATACCTGTCATTCATGCATTTACACGTGAATGGTGAATGTAAAAATTCGTCAAATTAAGGATATTTTCTCTCCTCTCTGCAGTTGGATGTTCTCTTACCTGTGAGAACGGAGGGAGCTGTAATACCGCAGGCGATGCCTGTGAATGTGTAGCGGGATTTACTGGAGACTTGTGTACAGGTATGAAAATCTATTGTAGCATCAGAAATTTAACGTCAAGAAATGGTTTGATTTCAAAGGGAATTAATAGACGAGTAATAAAAACGATGATTTCAGTCATGATATACGCTAATATCGTGCTCTTAACCTCTGCATATGTGTCAAAATCAACATTTATAACTATCAAACACAGCAATCACCCCCCCTCCCATCTCCCAAAAATTGAGTGGGCTAAAGTTTGGGGAAAGCCAACCTACATGTTAATTTGACAGTGTTTAATATATTCTAAATATTCATTCTAAATATGTTTACTCTATATTATTTTGATATATTATTATCGTCATTCATGCATTTTCAACTGAACGGTGAATTTAAAGATTGGTCATGAATTGAATGATATTCATATAATATTGGATCGCTTTGAGTGTGATACAATAATATATTGCTCGAGCTTCGACAATATTGGACGAGTGGAAGACGAGTCCAATATTAACATAACTAGAGCAATATAATAAATTGCAGATGAGTGGCAATAGGCTCGACGTGTGCCTACTAAGAATTCAGATGGAAGTAGAACAGTAAAACAAACAATTAAATGCAGTTCTATGAAAGAGTAAGAAAGGATGTTTAATAAAATAAATGGGGGCTGTTTGAATTTTCAAGAATAAAATTACAATTTTCTACTCGGCAGAAGGGCAATCTTAAAGGTTGTAGATTAATGTTAGACTTAATTAAGAGCGTCCGGTGGTTCCTTACCCTGGACGCCCGATAACTTAGGCATCTGCCACTGCTACACGACATGGGCCATGTGGGCCTTTAATAGGAGTTTTGGAGTCGTGGGGCTTAACCGAAAAGACAGACATCGTTAGCAAGACAAACCTTTATTCTATCAAATTGTCCTTAGGCGAGAGTGTGGGGGTATGTGTGACAGAGAATTGCTTCCTAACAATATAAACCAATAGGAGCAGTGAACATTTTAAGGCACGGATTAATTTGTTTAATACAAATTTCAAGACGGCTTTTATGAAGGTTCTGGATTACTAAAACTCCAAGCGTCTGTATACCTGTCATTCATGCATTTACACGTGAATGGTGAATGTAAAAATTCGTCAAATTAAGGATATTTTCTCTCCTCTCTGCAGTTGGATGTTCTCTTACCTGTGAGAACGGAGGGAGCTGTAATACCGCAGGCGATGCCTGTGAATGTGTAGCGGGATTTACTGGAGACTTGTGTACAGGTATGAAAATCTATTGTAGCATCAGAAATTTAACGCAATAAATGGTTTGTTTTCAAGGGGAATTAATTGACGAGTAAAAATAACGATGATTTCAGTCATGATTATACGCTAATATCGTGCTGTTAACCTCTGCATATGTGTCAAAATCAACATTTATAACTATCAAACACAGCAATCACCCCCCCTCCCATCTCCCAAAAATTGAGTGGGCTAAAGTTTGGGGAAAGCCAACCTACATGTTAATTTGACAGTGTTTAATATATTCTTAATATTCATTCTAAATATGTTTACTCTATATTATTTTGATATATTATTATCGTCATTCATGCATTTTCAACTGAACGGTGAATTTAAAGATTGGTCATGAATTGAATGATATTCATATAATATTGGATCGCTTTGAGTGTGATACAATAATATATTGCTCGAGCTTCGACAATATTGGACGAGTGGAAGACGAGTCCAATATTAACATAACTAGAGCAATATAATAAATTGCAGATGAGTGGCAATAGGCTCGACGTGTGCCTACGAAGAATTCAGATGAAAGTAGAACAGTAAAACAAACAATTAAATGCAGTTCTATGAAAGAGTAAGAGAGGATGATAAATGAAATAAATGGGGGCTGTTTTAATTTTCAAGAATAAAATTACAATTTTCTACTCGGCAGAAGGGCAATCTTAAAGGTTGTAGATTAATGTTAGACTTAATTAAGAGCGTCCGGTGGTTCCTTCCCCTGGACGCCCGATAACTTAGGCATCTGCCACTGCTACACGACATGGGCCATGTGGGCCTTTAATAGGAGTTTTGGAGTCCTGGGCCTTAACCGAAAAGACAGAAATCGTTCGCAAGATAAACCTTTATTCTATCAAATTGTCCTTAGGCGAGAGTGTGGGGGTATGTGTGACAGAGAATTGCTTCCTAACAATATAAACCAATAGAAGCAGTGAACATTTTAAGGCATGGATTAATTTGTTTAATACAAATTTCAAGACGGCTATTATGAAGGTTCTGAATTACTAAAACTCCAAGCGTCTGTATACCTGTCATTCATGCATTTCAACGTGAATGATGAATGTAAAAATTCGTCAAATTAAGGATATTTTCTCTCCTCTCTGCAGTTGGATGTTCTCTTACCTGTGAGAACGGAGGTAGCTGTAATACCGCAGGCGATGCCTGTGAATGTGTAGCGGGATTTACTGGAGACTTGTGTACAGGTATGAAAATCTATTGTAGCATCAGAAATTTAACGTCAAGAAATGGTTTGTTTTCAAAGGGAATTAATTGACGAGTAATAAAAACGATGATTTCAGTCATGATATACGCTGATATTGTGCTCTTAACCCCTGCATATGTGTCAAAATCAACATTTATAACTATCAAACACAGCAATCACCCCCCCCCCTCCCATCTCCCAAAAACTGAGTGGGCTAAAGTTTGGGGAAAGCCAACCTACATGTTAATTTGACAGTGTTTAATATATTCTAAATATTCATTCTAAATATGTTTACTCTATATTATTTTGATATATTATTATCGTCATTCATGCATTTTCAACTGAACGGTGAATTTAAAGATTGGTCATGAATTGAATGATATTCATATAATATTGAATCGCTTTGAGTGTGATACAATAATATATTGCTCGAGCTTCGACAATATTGGACGAGTGGAAGACAAGTCCAATATTAACATAACTAGAGCAATATAATAAATTGCAGATGAGTGGCAATAGGCTCGACGTGTGCCTACGAAGAATTCAGATGAAAGTAGAACAGTAAAACAAACAATTAAATGCAGTTCTATGAAAGAGTAAAAGAGGATGTTAAATAAAATAAATGGGGGCTGTTTAAATTTTCAAGAATAAAATTACAATTTTCTACTCGGCAGAAGGGCAATCTTAAAGGTTGTAGATTAATGTTAGACTTAATTAAGAGCGTCCGGTGGTTCCTTCCCCTGGACGCCCGATAACTTAGGCATCTGCCACTGCTACACGACATGGGCGATGTGGGCCTTTAATAGGAGTTTTGGAGTCCTGGGCCTTAACCGAAAAGACAGAAATCGTTCGCAAGACAAACCTTTATTCTATCAAATTGTCCTTAGGCGAGAGTGTGGGGGTATGTGTGACAGAGAATTGCTTCCTAACAATATAAACCAATAGGAGCAGTGAACATTTTAAGGCATGGATTAATTTGTTTAATACAAATTTCAAGACGGCTATTATGAAGGTTCTGAATTACTAAAACTCCAAGCGTCTGTATACCTGTCATTCATGCATTTTAACTTGAATGATGAATGTAAAAATTCGTCAAATTAAGGATATTTTCTCTCCTCTCTGCAGTTGGATGTTCTCTTACCTGTGAGAACGGAGGGAGCTGTAATACCGCAGGCGATGCATGTGAATGTGTAGCGGGATTTACTGGAGACTTGTGTACAGGTATGAAAATCTATTGTAGCATCAGAAATTTAACGTAAAAAAAAAGGTTTGTTTTCAAAGGGAATTAATTGACGAGTAATAAAAACGATGATTTCAGTCATGATATACGCTAATATCGTGCTCTTAACCTCTGCATATGTGTCAAAATCAACATTTATAACTATCAAACACAGCAATCACCCCCTTCCCCTCTCCCAAAAATTGAGTGGGCTAAAGTTTGGGGAAAGCCAACCTACATGTTAATTTGACAGTGTTTAATATATTCTAAATATTCATTCTAAATATGTTTACTCTATATTATTTTGATATATTATTATCGTCATTCATGCATTTTCAACTGAACGGTGAATTTAAAGATTGGTCATGAATTGAATGATATTCATATAATATTGGATCGCTTTGAGTGTGATACAATAATATATTGCTCGAGCTTCGACAATATTGGACGAGTGGAAGACGAGTCCAATATTAACATAACTAGAGCAATATAATAAATTGCAGATGAGTGGCAATAGGCTCGACGTGTGCCTATGAAGAATTCAGATGAAAGTAGAACAGTAAAACAAACAATTAAATGCAGTTCTATGAAAGAGTAAGAGAGGATGTTAAATGAAATAAATGGGGCTGTTTGAATTTTCAAGAATAAAATTACAATTTTCTACTCGGCAGAAGGGCAATCTTAAAGGTTGTAGATTAATGTTAGACTTAATTAAGAGCGTCCTTTGGTTCCTTCCCCTGGACGCCCGATAACTTAGGCATCTGCCACTGCAACACGACATGGGCCATGTGGGCCTTTAATAGGGGTTTTGGAGTCCTGGGCCTTAACCGAAAAGACAGAAATCGTTCGCAAGACAAACCTTTATTCTATCAAATTGTCCTTAGGCGAGAGTGTGGGGGTATGTGTGACAGAGAATTGCTTCCTAACAATATAAACCAATAGGGGCAGTGAGCATTTTAAGGCATGGATTAATTTGTTTAAAGGTAAAGACCAGTATTGGCAACGCCCCACTTTCAAAAAATGAAATGGAAGCTCTCATTACCAATCATTTGAAAGAATATGTTTTGACTAATACATGATGATAAAAAATTTGCCGGGAAACCGCCTACTAATTCATATATTTGGTAAATTTATTTCTCTCATGGTCTGGTGAGAGAGATAGGGTAGTCCCATATACATCTTTCTGTGTATAGTGCTTGTAACTTTACGAAGAATGGGCCAAATTTCTTATCATTTTGATGATTCCAGAACCTTGCAGATGCTAGATGCTAGATGATCAACCTTTTCTGATCGATTCCACAACGTTTCTTTCACAATGCAATCGCATGACCATTACTGGTCTTTACCTTTAATACAAATTTCAAGACGGCTATTATGAAGGTTCTGAATTACTAAAACTCCAAGCGTCTGTATACCTGTCATTCATGCATTTCAATGTGAATGATGAATGTAAAAATTCGTCAAATTAAGGATATTTTCTCTCCTCTCTGCAGTTGGATGTTCTCTTACCTGTGAGAACGGAGGGAGCTGTAATACCGCAGGCGATGCATGTGAATGTGTAGCGGGATTTACTGGAGACTTGTGTACAGGTATGAAAATCTATTGTAGCATCAGAAATTTAATGTCAAGAAATGGTTTGTTTTCAAAAGGAATTAATGACGAGTAATAAAAACGATGATTTCAGTCATGATTATACGCTAATATCGTGCTCTTAACCTCTGCATATATGTCAAAATTAACATTTATAACTATCAAACACAGCAATCACCCCCCCCTCCCCTCTCCCAAAAATAGAGTGGGCTAAAGTTTGGGGAAAGCCAAAATACATGTTAATTTGACAGTGTTTAATATATTCTAAATATTCATTCTAAATATGTTTACTCTATATTATTTTGATATATTATTATCGTCATTCATGCATTTTCAACTGAACGGTGAATTTAAAGATTGGTCATGAATTGAATGATATTCATATAATATTGAATCGCTTTGAGTGTGATACAATAATATATTGCTCGAGGTTCGACAATATTGGACTAGTGGAAGAAGAGTCCAATATTAACATAACTAGAGCACAAACTGCTTTTTGTGTTGGTACAATTTTATTGAATTGGATTTTTAAAAAATACCTAGTTTTATTAATACAGTTCTTACATGTTATCTGTGTTGAAGACAAAGTAGTCTCTTGTAAGAATAGTAGAAAAAAAAGGTAACCCAAGACGGGTATGAAATGTTTATATTTCCTTTGTAATAAGAAACGGCTAAACAGGAATCTGACCATCACCAAGTTGGGTTATTGAAAAACCTGTGAATAATTTGGTCACAACATACTTGAAATAAAAGATTACCGTATTGATTTTTGTCGATTGGTGAAATAACTACACGTGTATGCCCATGTTCACAGCATTGTGCGATCTGAAATGGTTTAGAGAAGTAAAATGGTTATCACTATGCAGTGAAAAGAGTATTCATTTGAAGTGGTTACATTACTCGTGTGACATATTGGTTTCCCAACTACCTTACCACCTGTTCTAAATTTTGAGAAGTTCCATGTATTGTGCAGTAAGGGAAGTGGGGGTTCATCAACTCTCTGAAGGGCATCACCGGGCATCGGGTTCGCACCTTCAGAGCACTGAACCCCCAGCCCCTGCGCTGCTCTCCACTTTGCAACAAATACATGGTACATTGGATATTTTAGAAACACACTGTTTCAGGATTCAAGATTGGTAGTGGGTAAATGTCTATCCATTTTATTACTTTGATTTAACCCAATACATGAGCAAAGTCTTGGTTGGATTAGATGAGATAATGACCTGCATGTTCTTCTGAATTTGATAGAAATCTCTTTTATGTTATAATGTATACCTGTCTTGGTTTATGTTAGTAGACAGTGATAGTTATAATGAAAAATGTATTTGACTTGTTATTCAGGTCTTCGTGTCAAGATGCAGAGTTACACTCATGAATAACCACCATTCAGTCTACTTTTGCAACTAATGATATATCTTAAAAAACTTTTAAAGAAAGCTGAATTTGATTAGATCAAGACCCAGATATGCCTTTTATTATAGGATATATAGTTTATATGCAGTAAAGGTTTGCAGAAGGGTTTGGGGCATAAATTTGTTGAATAGATCTCCATACATTGATCCGGAATTTTTTTTGGGGGGGGGGGTTAATTGGCTGTTCACAGCTGGTCGTCAGTCAGCTCTGATGCGGTGCGTTGCGTCCACACGTTTGTGCGTGTTGTTTTGTGTTGTGTGTATTGTAATGTTTTTGTTGTTGTGTAGTTGTTTTTGTAGTGTTACTGTTTGTGAGTATAAAATGAAAACTTCCACAGGTAGTTCCTTTTTTCTTTCATTCTTTTATCTTACGTACGATGCAGGATAATGTTACGTTTATTTCCTTGAATTGTCGCGGCCTAGGAAATAGTCGCAAAAGACAAGATGTTTTGTTTTACTTAAAAGCGAAACAATGATGTTTGTTGTATTCAGGATACACATTTTGTCCCAGCTATGGAGACTGATATACGTAGGGAATGGGAAGGTAAATGTTTTTTCTCTTTCAACACGTCCAACTCAAGAGGAGTAGCAATTCTTTTTAAGAACACTCTCCCTGTAAATATAAATAGAATTAAAGTAGATATCACAGGAAACTTTGTGGTTTTAGATGTAACTTTGCACGAATATAATATTACTATCGCGTCGCTGTATGGCCCGAATACAGATAACCCAATATTTTTTGCAGATCTCCAACAAATTATAATAGATTTTGAAAATCCACATGCTATTGTCTGTGGAGACTGGAATTTAGTACAAGATGCAACCCTAGACACATATAACTATTTGCATGTTAATAACTCGCGAGCTAAACAACAAGTAAATAAAATGAAGACTGAGTTAGATCTATGTGATCCTTGGAGAATTAGATTTCCAGATAAAAGACGTTATACGTGGCGGCAACCAACCCCTTTTAAACAGAGTAGATTAGATTTCTTTTTGATTTCTTCAGAACTTCTTTCATTAGTGCACAATGTCGATATTCTTTCAGGTTACCGAACAGATCACTCTTTAACTCATATAAGTCTCAGTTTGAATCGGATAAAACGAGGTCCTGGTTTTTGGAAATTTAATAATTCCTTGTTAAAAGACGAAGATTTTGTTTCGCAAATAAAGAAAAAGATAAGAGATACTATTCTATTTTATGCTAAAGACGAAGCAAAGTTTGACCAGAATGGTTGTATAGTGGGCGAGTGTGAATTTAGCATAAATGATCAGTTATTTTTTGAAACTTTAATGATGATTATACGAGGGGAAGCAATATCATATGCCTCCTTTGCCAAAAAACAAAATGTGAACAGGGAAAAAGATCTAGGAAAGAAAATTGAAGAGTTACAAAGAAAATTGATAATATCTGATGATAAGACTTTTGTATTAGAGGAAATTGATAAATCAAAATTAGAACTGGAAGCATCCCGTCTTAAAACTAATGAAGGAATTGCGATTAGATCCCGAATTAAATGGATGGAGTTTGGAGAAAAACCGTCTAAATTCTTTTTAAATTTAGAAAAAAAAAATAATACCAATAAAGAAATACGTCAGTTATCCGCTGAAAATGGTGATATTTTAGACAGACAAAGTGACATACTTAAGGAAGTGTTTAACTTTTATTCTTACCTTTATGCAGAAAAAGAAACTGATGGAATTAATCTGGAATTATTGTTAAACTACCCTGACATTCCTAAGTTGTCCTCGCAAATGTCCTCATTACTGGAAGGCCCACTTTGTGTTGACGAAATCTATTCCACTTTAAAAATCATGAAAAACAATAAATCCCCCGGACAGGATGGTTTTACTGTAGAATTTTATCGTTAATTTTGGGAAGATATTAAATACTTGCTGGTAAGATCATTGAATTATGCGTATTTCACAGGGAAATTGTCAAACTCACAAAAAATGGGAATAATAACTTTGATTCCAAAAGGAAACAAACCTAGACATTTGTTAAAAAATTGGCGACCGATCTCCTTATTGAATGTAGTTTATAAATTAGCATCCAGTTGCATCGCAAACAGACTCAAGGGCGTTTTGTCATTTTTGATACATGAAAATCAAACAGGATTTTTGAGTGGTCGTTTTATTGGCGAAAACATACGTTTATTATATGATACGCTACTTTATACTGAATTACATGATATAGCTGGCATGCACCTTGTTGTTGATTTTGAAAAAGCTTTTGATTCCGTATCGCATGATTTTCTGTTCAATGTCCTGGATTTTTTTCTCGCTTCGGTCCATCTGTAAAGAAATGGATCAACTTGTTTTATGCAAATGCATCATCTTGTGTATAAGTTAACGGACACTGTACAGATAAATTTGAAATAGGACGAGGGTGTCGCCAGGGAGATCCTTTGTCTTCCTACCTCTTTTTGTTAGTCAGTGAGATACTTGGGATCCTAATACGACACTCACATTCTTTGGGCGGATTGCATATGAATGGAAAAACGCTTAAACTGTTGCAATATGCAGACGATACCCTTTTGACACTCAACGGTTCAATGCAGGATTTACAATGTGCCCTTACAATACTTAATGACTTTGCAAATATGTCCAATCTCAAAGTCAACACGACTAAAACTCAAGTGATATGGATTGAGAAGAACAGAACTTTCAAAAAAGAGATTTTACACGAGTACAAACTTAATTGGATATCTGAGGGATATTTTAGGTACTTGGGCATAGACTTTTCAGTTAAATTATCAGAAATGGTTAATCACAACTATCAAGAAAAGGTTCAAGAGATAAACCGTCAGATGACGATATGGTTGACAAGAACATTGACTCCCATAGGAAGAGTTACCATAGTAAAATCTTTATTTATACCCAAATTGAACTACCTATTTTTATCTCTTCCTGAACCAAAATTAGAAATTATGAAGGATATCGATCGACGTTTTTTTGAATTTATATGGCATGGCAAACGTGATAAAATAAGTAGGAAACAAATGGGTCAATTGTACAATGAAGGCGGAGTTAAAGTGACTGACCTTTGTATGCATTGTAAATCACTTAAGATATCATGGATAAGGAGATTTATTTGTTCTGAAAGTTTCTCTCTTCATATGTTCCAATCATTCTTACCTCCACCGTATACATCTCTTCAGTTATTCATGGGGGCTGAATATTACAAAGAATTAGCCACTACAATACGAAACCCATTTTGGGAAGAAGTATTATCAGCCTTTTCAGACCTTACTCAACTCACTGTAAATGATATTGCATGTCAACCCCTTTGGAATAACCCTAAAATAAAAGTTAATGATAACGTAATTTATTATAAGTCTTGGTGCGCTAAGGGGGTACGTTTTGTTAACGATGTTTTAAAAACAGATGGATCATTTCTCTCATACTTTGATTTTCAACATAAATACAATGTACATGTAAACTTTCTTCAATATTATGGCTTTTGTAATGCTATTCGATTTGGTTTTAATAAAAATGTCATACCAAAGGTCATTGAACCTACATGTATCATCCCGGAAGCATTGTAATTAATAATAAAAGTGGAAAAAGGTTGTGCACATATATACCGTTCTTTATTGAAACATAATATAAAGGAATGTAAAAGTCTTACTAAGTGGAAACAGGAGTTTGACCTTGACAATATTGTATGGAGTTCGTATTATTTTCTTCCCTTTAATTCAACTGTCGATGTTAACATGAGGTGGTTTCAGTTCAAGTTACTGAATAAAATTCTTTATATGAAAGATGCTTTGTTAAGATTTAAATTAGTTACAGATAACTTATGTACATTCTGTAATAACAGTGTAGAAACGATTATACATATACTTTGTTACTGTATTCATACAACCGAAATATGGTCTAAACTCGAGTATTGGTTGTCTCGTAATAATGAACTTATTAAGTTTAGAAATCAAAATAAGTTGTTTGGGTTTCACGGTAATAATAACAGTGCCCTCAACTGTATTATGATTATAGTCAGGAAAGAAATTTTTGCAGCCAAATGTAAACAGTGTTTGCCAGTTTTTGAAAACATAATATCAGCTATAAAGTGTTATTATAACATGGAAAAGTATATATGTAAAACAAATCTGAAAGAACAGAAATTTGTGAAAAAGTGGTTACTTTTTGCAAAGTGTTTCTGATTGTTTATTTCTTCTAAAATCATTTTGCCAACTAAATCTGTGATATTTATTTTAAAAAGTGAACTTCAATTTGTAACTGATACCGGTATCTATAAATGTATTTTCTTATCATATTTTGAATGGCCAGGAATATTATTTTGAATTTCTGCATGTAAAAACCAATTCTTGTATACATAATAATGTGAACGATATTATTTAATAAAGGATCCCTGTGGAAGGGAAAAAGAAAAGAAAAAAAAAAATAACTAGAGCAATATAATAAATTGCAGATGAGTGGCAATAGGCTCAACGTGTGCCTACGAAGAATTCAGATGAAAGTAGAACAGTAAAACAAACAATTAAATGCAGTTAGGTGAAAGAGTAAGAGAGGATGTTTAATGAAATAAATGGGGGCTGTTTGAATTTTCAAAAATAAAATTACAATTTTCTATTCGGCGGGAGGGCAATCATAAAGGTTGTAGACTAATGTTAGACTTAATTAAGAGTGTCCAGTGGTTCCTTCCCCTGGACGCCCGATAACTTAGGCATCTGCCACTGCAACACAAAATGGGCCATGTTGGCCTTTAATAGGGGTTTTGGAGTCCTGGGCCCGAAAAGACAGAAAACGTTCGAAAGACAAACCTTTATTCTATCAAATTGTCCTTAGGCGAGAGTGTGGGGGTATGTGTGACAGAGAATTGCTTCCTAACAATATAAACCAATAGGGGCAGTGAAAATTTTAAGGCATGGATTAATTCGTTTAATACAAATTTCAAGACGGCTATTATGAAGGTTCTGAATTACTAAAACTCCAAGCGTCTGTATACCTGTCATTCATGCATTTCAACGTGAATGATGAATGTAAAAATTCGTCAAATTAAGGATATTTTCTCTCCTCTCTGCAGTTGGATGTTCTCTTACCTGTGAGAACGGAGGGAGCTGTAATACCGCAGGCGATGCATGTGAATGTGTAGCGGGATTTACTGGAGACTTGTGTACAGGTATGAAAATCTATTGTAGCATCAGAAATTTAACGTCAAGAAATGGTTTGTTTTTAAGGGAATTAATTGACGAGTAATAAAAACGATGATTTCAGTCATGATATACGCTAATATCGTGCTCTTAACCTCTGCATATGTGTCAAAATCAACATTTATAACTATCAAACACAGCAATCACCCCCCCCTCCCCTTTCCCAAAAATTGAGTGGGCTAAAGTTTGGGGAAAGCCAACCTACATGTTAATTTGACAGTGTTTAATATATTCTAAATATTCATTCTAAATATGTTTACTCTATATTATTTTGATATATTATTATCGTCATTCATGCATTTTCAACAAAACGGTGAATTTAAAGATTGGTCATGAATTGAATGATATTCATATAATATTGAATCGCTTTGAGTGTGATACAAGAATATATTGCTCGAGGTTCGACAATATTGGACGAGTGGAAGAAGAGTCCAATATTAACATAACTAGAGCAATATAATAAATTGCAGATAAGTGGCAATAGGCTCAACGTGTGCCTACGAAGAATTCAGATGAAAGTAGAACAGTAAAACAAACAATTAAATGCAGTTAGGTGAAAGAGTAAGAGAGGATGTTTAATGAAATAAATGGGGGCTGTTTGAATTTTCAAGAATAAAATTACAATTTTCTACTCGGCGGGAGGGCAATCATAAAGGTTGTAGACTAATGTTAGACTTAATTAAGAGCGTCCGGAGGTTCCTTCCCATGGACGCCCGATAACTTGGGCATCTGCCACTGCAACACAACATGGGCCATGTGGGCCTTTAATAGGGGTTTTGGAGTCCTGGGCCCGAAAAGACAGAAATCGTTCGCAAGACAAACCTTTATTCTATCAAATTGTCCTTAGGCGAGAGTGTGGGGGTATGTGTGACAGAGAATTGCTTCCTAACAATATAAACTAATAGGGGCAGTGAAAATTTTAAGGCATGGATTAATTCGTTTAATACAAATTTCAAGGCGGCTATCATGAAGGATCTGAATTACCAAAACTCCAAGCGTCTGTTTACCTGTCATTCATGCATTTCCACGTGAATGGTGAATGTAAAAATTCGTCAAATTAAGGATATTTTCTCTCCTCTCTGCAGTTGGATGTTCTCTTACCTGTGAGAACGGAGGGACCTGTAATACCGCGGGCGATGCCTGTGAATGTGTAGCGGGATTTACTGGAGACTTGTGTACAGGTATGAAAATCTATTGTCGCATCAGAAATTTAACGTCAAGAAATGGTTTGTTTTCAAAGGGAATTAATTGATGAGTAATAAAAACGATGATTTCAGTCATGATATACGCTAATATCGTGCTCTTAACCTCTGCATATATGTCAAAATTAACATTTATAACTATCAAACACAGTCATCACCCCCCCCCCCTCTCCCAAAAATAGAGTGGGCTATAGTTTGGGGAAAGCCAACCTACATGTTAATTTAACAGTGTTTATTATATTCTAAATATTCATTCTAAATATGTTTACTCTATATTATTTTGATATATTATTATCGTCATTCATGCATTTTCAACTGTACGGTGAATTTAAAGATTCGTCATGAATTGAATGATATTCATATAATATTGGATCGCTTTAAGTGTGATACAAGAATATATTGCTCGAGCTTCGACAATATTGGACGAGTGGAAGACGAGTCCAATATTAACATAACTAGAGCAGTATAATAAATTGCAGATGAGTGGCAATAGGCTCGACGTGTACCTACGAAGAATTCAGATGAAAGTAGAACAGTAAAACAAACAATTAAATGCAGTTAGGTGAAAGAGTAAGAGAGGATGTTTAATGAAATAAATGGGGGCTGTTTGAATTTTCAAGAATAAAATTACAATTTTCTACTCGGCAGAAGGGCAATCTTAAAGGTTGTAGATTAATGTTAGACTTAATTAAGAGCGTCCGGTGGTTCCTTCCCCTGGACGCCCGATAACTTAGGCATCTGCCACTGCAACACGACATGGGCCATGTGGGCCTGTAATAGGGGTTTTAGAGTCATGGGCCTTAACCGAAAAGACAGACATCGTTAGCAAGACAAACCTTTATTCTATCAAATTGTCCTTAGGCGAGAGTGTGGGGGTATGTGTGACAGAGAATTGCTTCCTAACAATATAAACTAATAGGGGCAGTGAAAATTTTAAGGCATGGATTAATTCGTTTAATACAAATTTCAAGACGGCTATCATGAAGGTTCTGAATTATCAAAACTCCAAGCGTTTGTTTACCTGTCATTCATGCATTTCAACGTTAATGATGAATGTAAAAATTCGTCAAATTAAGGATATTTTCTCTCCTCTCTGCAGTTGGATGTTCTCTTACCTGTGAGAACGGAGGGAGCTGTAATACCGCAGGCGATGCATGTGAATGTGTAGCGGGATTTACTGGAGACTTGTGTACAGGTATGAAAATCTATTGTAGTATCAGAAATTTAACGTCAAGAAATGGTTTGTTTTCAAAGGGAATTAATTGACGAGTAATAAAAACGATGATTTCAGTTATGATATACGCTAATATCGTGCTCTTAACCTATGCATATGTGTCAAAATCAACATTTATAACTATCAAACACAGCAATCACCCCCCCTCCCCTTTCCCAAAAATTGAGTGGGCTAAAGTTTGGGGAAAGCCAACCTACATGTTAATTTGACAGTGTTTAATATATTCTAAATATTCATTCTAAATATGTTTACTCTATATTATTTTGATATATTATTATCGTCATTCATGCATTTTCAATTGAACGGTGAATTTAAAGATTGGTCATGAATTGAATGATATTCATATAATATTGAATCGCTTTGAGTGTGATACAAGAATATATTGCTCGAGCTTCGACAATATTGGACGAGTCGAAGACGAGTCCAATATTAACATAACTAGAGCAATATAATAAATTGCAGATAAGTGGCAATAGGCTCGACGTGTGCCTACGAAGAATTCAGATGAAAGTAGAACAGTAAAACAAACAATTAAATGCAGTTAGGTGAAAGAGCAAGAGAGGATGTTTAATGAAATAAATGGGGGCTGTTTGAATTTTCAAGAATAAAATTACAATTTTCTACTCGGCGGGAGGGCAATCATAAAGGTTGTAGACTAATGTTAGACTTAATTAAGAGCGTCCGGAGGTTCCTTCCCATGGACGCCCGATAACTTGGGCATCTGCCACTGCAACACAACATGGGCCATGTGGGCCTTTAATAGGGGTTTTGGAGTCCTGGGCCCGAAAAGACAGAAATCGTTCGCAAGACAAACCTTTATTCTATCAAATTGTCCTTAGGCGAGAGTGTGGGGGTATGTGTGACAGAGAATTGCTTCCTAACAATATAAACTAATAGGGGCAGTGAAAATTTTAAGGCATGGATTAATTCGTTTAATACAAATTTCAAGGCGGCTATCATGAAGGTTCTGAATTACCAAAACTCCAAGCGTCTGTTTACCTGTCATTCATGCATTTCCACGTGAATGGTGAATGTAAAAATTCGTCAAATTAAGGATATTTTCTCTCCTCTCTGCAGTTGGATGTTCTCTTACCTGTGAGAACGGTGGGACCTGTAATACCGCGGGCGATGCCTGTGAATGTGTAGCGGGATTTACTGGAGACTTGTGTACAGGTATGAAAATCTATTGTCGCATCAGAAATTTAACGTCAAGAAATGGTTTGTTTTCAAAGGGAATTAATTGATGAGTAATAAAAACGATGATTTCAGTCATGATATACGCTAATATCGTGCTGTTAACCTCTGCATATATGTCAAAATTAACATTTATAACTATCAAACACAGTCATCCCCCCCCCCCTCTCCCCAAAATAGAGTGGGCTATAGTTTGGGGAAAGCCAACCTACATGTTAATTTAACAGTGTTTATTATATTCTAAATATTCATTCTAAATATGTTTACTATATATTATTTTGATATATTATTATCGTCATTCATGCATTTTCAACTGTACGGTGAATTTAAAGATTCGTCATTAATTGAATGATATTCATATAATATTGGATCGCTTTAAGTGTGATACAAGAATATATTGCTCGAGCTTCGACAATATTGGACGAGTGGAAGACGAGTCCAATATTAACATAACTAGAGCAGTATAATAAATTGCAGATGAGTGGCAATAGGCTCGACGTGTACCTACGAAGAATTCAGATGAAAGTAGAACAGTAAAACAAACAATTAAATGCAGTTAGGTGAAAGAGTAAGAGAGGATGTTTAATGAAATAAATGGGGGCTGTTTAAATTTTCAAGAATAAAATTACAATTTTCTACTCGGCAGAAGGGCAATCTTAAAGGTTGTAGATTAATGTTAGACTTAATTAAGAGCGTCCGGTGGTTCCTTCCCCTGGACGCCCGATAACTTAGGCATCTGCCACTGCAACACGACATGGGCCATGTTGGCCTGTAATAGGGGTTTTAGAGTCATGGGCCTTAACCGAAAAGACAGACATCGTTAGCAAGACAAACCTTTATTCTATCAAATTGTCCCTAGGCGAGAGTGTGGGGGTATGTGTGACAGAGAATTGCTTCCTAACAATATAAACTAATAGGGGCAGTGAAAATTTTAAGGCATGGATTAATTCGTTTAATACAAATTTCAAGACGGCTATCATGAAGGTTCTGAATTATCAAAAACTCCAAGCGTTTGTTTACCTGTCATTCATGCATTTCAACGTTAATGATGAATGTAAAAATTCGTCAAATTAAGGATATTTTCTGTCCTCTCTGCAGTTGGATGTTCTCTTACCTGTGAGAACGGAGGGAGCTGTAATACCGCAGGCGATGCATGTGAATGTGTAGCGGGATTTACTGGAGACTTGTGTACAGGTATGAAAATCTATTGTAGCATCAGAAATTTAACGTCAAGAAATGGTTTGTTTTCAAAGGGAATTAATTGACGAGTAATAAAAACGATGATTTCAGTTATGATATACGCTAATATCGTGCTCTTAACCTCTGCATATGTGTCAAAATCAACATTTATAACTATCAAACACAGCAATCACCCCCCCTCCCCTTTCTCAAAAATTGAGTGGGCTAAAGTTTGGGGAAAGCCAACCTACATGTTAATTTGACAGTGTTTAATATATTCTAAATATTCATTCTAAATATGTTTACTCTATATTATTTTGATATATTATTATCGTCATTCATGCATTTTCAACAAAACGGTGAATTTAAAGATTGGTCATGAATTGAATGATATTCATATAATATTGAATCGCTTTGAGTGTGATACAAGAATATATTGCTCGAGGTTCGACAATATTGGACGAGTGGAAGAAGAGTCCAATATTAACATAACTAGAGCAATATAATAAATTGCAGATAAGTGGCAATAGGCTCAACGTGTGCCTACGAAGAATTCAGATGAAAGTAGAACAGTAAAACAAACAATTAAATGCAGTTAGGTGAAAGAGTAAGAGAGGATGTTTAATGAAATAAATGGGGGCTGTTTGAATTTTCAAGAATAAAATTACAATTTTCTACTCGGCGGGAGGGCAATCATAAAGGTTGTAGACTAATGTTAGACTTAATTAAGAGCGTCCGGAGGTTCCTTCCCATGGACGCCCGATAACTTGGGCATCTGCCACTGCAACACAACATGGGCCATGTGGGCCTTTAATAGGGGTTTTGGAGTCCTGGGCCCGAAAAGACAGAAATCGTTCGCAAGACAAACCTTTATTCTATCAAATTGTCCTTAGGCGAGAGTGTGGGGGTATGTGTGACAGAGAATTGCTTCCTAACAATATAAACTAATAGGGGCAGTGAAAATTTTAAGGCATGGATTAATTCGTTTAATACAAATTTGAAGGCGGCTATCATGAAGGTTCTGAATTACCAAAACTCCAAGCGTCTGTTTACCTGTCATTCATGCATTTCCACGTGAATGGTGAATGTAAAAATTCGTCAAATTAAGGATATTTTCTCTCCTCTCTGCAGTTGGATGTTCTCTTACCTGTGAGAACGGAGGGACCTGTAATACCGCGGGCGATGCCTGTGAATGTGTAGCGGGATTTACTGGAGACTTGTGTACAGGTATGAAAATCTATTGTAGCATCAGAAATTTAACGTCAAGAAATGGTTTGTTTTCAAAGGGAATTAATTGATGAGTAATAAAAACGATGATTTCAGTCATGATATACGCTAATATCGTGCTCTTAACCTCTGCATATATGTCAAAATTAACATTTATAACTATCAAACACAGTCATCACCCCCCCCCCCTCTCCCCAAAATAGAGTGGGCTATAGTTTGGGGAAAGCCAACCTACATGTTAATTTAACAGTGTTTATTATATTCTAAATATTCATTCTAAATATGTTTACTCTATATTATTTTGATATATTATTATCGTCATTCATGCATTTTCAACTGTACGGTGAATTTAAAGATTCGTCATTAATTGAATGATATTAATATAATATTGGATCGCTTTAAGTGTGATACAAGAATATATTGCTCGAGCTTCGACAATATTGGACGAGTGGAAGACGAGTCCAATATTAACATAACTAGAGCAGTATAATAAATTGCAGATGAGTGGCAATAGGCTCGACGTGTACCTACGAAGAATTCAGATGAAAGTAGAACAGTAAAACAAACAATTAAATGCAGTTAGGTGAAAGAGTAAGAGAGGATGTTTAATGAAATAAATGGGGGCTGTTTAAATTTTCAAGAATAAAATTACAATTTTCTACTCGGCAGAAGGGCAATCTTAAAGGTTGTAGATTAATGTTAGACTTAATTAAGAGCGTCCGGTGGTTCCTTCCCCTGGACGCCCGATAACTTAGGCATCTGCCACTGCAACACGACATGGGCCATGTGGGCCTGTAATAGGGGTTTTAGAGTCATGGGCCTTAACCGAAAAGACAGACATCGTTAGCAAGACAAACCTTTATTCTATCAAATTGTCCTTAGGCGAGAGTGTGGGGGTATGTGTGACAGAGAATTGCTTCCTAACAATATAAACTAATAGGGGCAGTGAAAATTGTAAGGCATGGATTAATTCGCTTAATACAAATTTCAAGACGGCTATCATGAAGGTTCTGAATTATCAAAACTCCAAGCGTTTGTTTACCTGTCATTCATGCATTTCAACGTTAATGATGAATGTAAAAATTCGTCAAATTAAGGATATTTTCTCTCCTCTCTGCAGTTGGATGTTATCTTACCTGTGAGAACGGAGGGAGCTGTAATACCGCAGGCGATGCATGTGAATGTGTAGCGGGATTTACTGGAGACTTGTGTACAGGTATGAAAAATTATTGTAGCATCAGAAATTTAACGTCAAGAAATGGTTTGTTTTCAAAGGGAATTAATTGACGAGTAATAAAAACGATGATTTCAGTTATGATATACGCTAATATCGTGCTCTTAACCTCTGCATATGTGTCAAAATCAACATTTATAACTATCAAACACAGCAATCACCCCCCCTCCCCTTTCCCAAAAATTGAGTGGGCTAAAGTTTGGGGAAAGCCAACCTACATGTTAATTTGACAGTGTTTAATATATTCTAAATATTCATTCTAAATATGTTTACTCTATATTATTTTGATATATTATTATCGTCATTCATGCATTTTCAACAAAACGGTGAATTTAAAGATTGGTCATGAATTGAATGATATTCATATAATATTGAATCGCTTTGAGTATATACAAGAATATATTGCTCGAGGTTCGACAATATTGGACGAGTGGAAGAAGAGTCCAATATTAACATAACTAGAGCAATATAATAAATTGCAGATAAGTGGCAATAGGCTCAACGTGTGCCTACAAAGAATTCAGATGAAAGTAGAACAGTAAAACAAACAATTAAATGCAGTTAGGTGAAAGAGTAAGAGAGGATGTTTAATGAAATAAATGGGGGCTGTTTGAATTTTCAAGAATAAAATTACAATTTTCTACTCGGCGGGAGGGCAATCATAAAGGTTGTAGACTAATGTTAGACTTAATTAAGAGCGTCCGGAGGTTCCTTCCCATGGACGCCCGATAACTTGGGCATCTGCCACTGCAACACAACATGGGCCATGTGGGCCTTTAATAGGGGTTTTGGAGTCCTGGGCCCGAAAAGACAGAAATCGTTCGCAAGACAAACCTTTATTCTATCAAATTGTCCTTAGGCGAGAGTGTGGGGGTATGTGTGACAGAGAATTGCTTCCTAACAATATAAACTAATAGGGGCAGTGAAAATTTTAAGGCATGGATTAATTCGTTTAATACAAATTTGAAGGCGGCTATCATGAAGGTTCTGAATTACCAAAACTCCAAGCGTCTGTTTACCTGTCATTCATGCATTTCCACGTGAATGGTGAATGTAAAAATTCGTCAAATTAAGGATATTTTCTCTCCTCTCTGCAGTTGGATGTTCTCTTACCTGTGAGAACGGAGGGACCTGTAATACCGCGGGCGATGCCTGTGAATGTGTAGCGGGATTTACTGGAGACTTGTGTACAGGTATGAAAATCTATTGTAGCATCAGAAATTTAACGTCAAGAAATGGTTTGTTTTCAAAGGGAATTAATTGATGAGTAATAAAAACGATGATTTCAGTCATGATATACGCTAATATCGTGCTCTTAACCTCTGCATATATGTCAAAATTAACATTTATAACTATCAAACACAGTCATCACCCCCCCCCCCCTCTCCCCAAAATAGAGTGGGCTATAGTTTGGGGAAAGCCAACCTACATGTTAATTTAACAGTGTTTATTATATTCTAAATATTCATTCTAAATATGTTTACTATATATTATTTTGATATATTATTATCGTCATTCATGCATTTTCAACTGTACGGTGAATTTAAAGATTCGTCATTAATTGAATGATATTCATATAATATTGGATCGCTTTAAGTGTGATACAAGAATATATTGCTCGAGCTTCGACAATATTGGACGAGTGGAAGACGAGTCCAATATTAACATAACTAGAGCAGTATAATAAATTGCAGATGAGTGGCAATAGGCTCGACGTGTACCTACGAAGAATTCAGATGAAAGTAGAACAGTAAAACAAACAATTAAATGCAGTTAGGTGAAAGAGTAAGAGAGGATGTTTAATGAAATAAATGGGGGCTGTTTAAATTTTCAAGAATAAAATTACAATTTTCTACTCGGCAGAAGGGCAATCTTAAATGTTGTAGATTAATGTTAGACTTAATTAAGAGCGTCCGGTGGTTCCTTCCCCTGGACGCCCGATAACTTAGGCATCTGCCACTGCAACACGACATGGGCCATGTGGGCCTGTAATAGGGGTTTTAGAGTCATGGGCCTTAACCGAAAAGACAGACATCGTTAGCAAGACAAACCTTTATTCTATCAAATTGTCCTTAGGCGAGAGTGTGGGGGTATGTGTGACAGAGAATTGCTTCCTAACAATATAAACTAATAGGGGCAGTGAAAATTTTAAGGCATGGATTAATTCGTTTAATACAAATTTCAAGACGGCTATCATGAAGGTTCTGAATTATCAAAACTCCAAGCGTTTGTTTACCTGTCATTCATGCATTTCAACGTTAATGATGAATGTAAAAATTCGTCAAATTAAGGATATTTTCTCTCCTCTCTGCAGTTGGATGTTCTCTTACCTGTGAGAACGGAGGGAGCTGTAATACCGCAGGCGATGCATGTGAATGTGTAGCGGGATTTACTGGAGACTTGTGTACAGGTATGAAAATCTATTGTAGCATCAGAAATTTAACGTCAAGAAATGGTTTGTTTTCAAAGGGAATTAATTGACGAGTAATAAAAACGATGATTTCAGTTATGATATACGCTAATATCGTGCTCTTAACCTCTGCATATGTGTCAAAATCAACATTTATAACTATCAAACACAGCAATCACCCCCCCTCCCCTTTCCCAAAAATTGAGTGGGCTAAAGTTTGGGGAAAGCCAACCTACATGTTAATTTGACAGTGTTTAATATATTCTAAATATTCATTCTAAATATGTTTACTCTATATTATTTTGATATATTATTATCGTCATTCATGCATTTTCAACAAAACGGTGAATTTAAAGATTGGTCATGAATTGAATGATATTCATATAATATTGAATCGCTTTGAGTGTGATACAAGAATATATTGCTCGAGGTTCGACAATATTGGACGAGTGGAAGAAGAGTCCAATATTAACATAACTAGAGCAATATAATAAATTGCAGATAAGTGGCAATAGGCTCAACGTGTGCCTACGAAGAATTCAGATGAAAGTAGAACAGTAAAACAAACAATTAAATGCAGTTAGGTGAAAGAGTAAGAGAGGATGTTTAATGAAATAAATGGGGGCTGTTTGAATTTTCAAGAATAAAATTACAATTTTCTACTCGGCGGGAGGGCAATCATAAAGGTTGTAGACTAATGTTAGACTTAATTAAGAGCGTCCGGAGGTTCCTTCCCATGGACGCCCGATAACTTGGGCATCTGCCACTGCAACACAACATGGGCCATGTGGGCCTTTAATAGGGGTTTTGGAGTCCTGGGCCCGAAAAGACAGAAATCGTTCGCAAGACAAACCTTTATTCTATCAAATTGTCCTTAGGTGAGAGTGTGGGGGTATGTGTGACAGAGAATTGCTTCCTAACAATATAAACTAATAGGGGCAGTGAAAATTTTAAGGCATGGATTAATTCGTTTAATACAAATTTCAAGACGGCTATTATGAAGGTTCTGAATTACTAAAACTCCAAGCGTCTGTATACCTGTCATTCATGCATTTCAACGTGAATGACGAATTAAGGATATTTTCTCTCCTCTCTGCAGTTGGATGTTCTCTTACCTGTGAGAACGGAGGGAGCTGTAATACCGCAGGCGATGCATGTGAATGTGTAGCGGGATTTACTGGAGACTTGTGTACAGGTATGAAAATCTATTGTAGCATCAGAAATTTAATGTCAAGAAATGGTTTGTTTTCAAAGGGAATTAATTGACGAGTAATAAAAACGATGATTTCAGTCATGATTATACGCTAATATCGTGCTCTTAACCTCTGCATATGTGTCAAAATTAACATTTATAACTATCAAACACAGTTATAACCCCCCCCCCTCTCCCAAAAATAGAGTGGGCTATAGTTTGGGGAAAGCCAACCTACATGTTAATTTAACAGTGTTTAATATATTCTAAATATTCATTCTAAATATGTTTACTCTATATTATTTTGATATATTATTATCGTCATTCATGCATTTTCAACTGAACGGTGAATTTAAAGATTCGTCATGAATTGAATGATATTCATATAATATTGGATCGCTTTGAGTGTGATACAAGAATATATTGCTCAAGCTTCGACAATATTGGACGAGTCGAAGACGAGTCCAATATTAACATAACTAGAGCAATATAATAAATTGCAGATGAGTGGCAATAGGCTCGACGTGTGCCTACGAAGAATTCAGATGAAAGTAGAACAGTAAAACAAACAATTAAATGCAGTTAGGTGAAAGAGTAAGAGAGGATGTTTAATGAAATAAATGGGGGCTGTTTGAATTTTCAAGAATAAAATTACGATTTTCTACTCGGCGGGAGGGCAATCATAAAGGTTGAAGACTAATGTTAGACTTAATTAAGAGCGTCCGGTGGCTCCTTCCCCTGGACGCCCGATAACTTAGGCATCTGCCACTGCTACACGACATGGGCCATGTGGGCCTTTAATAGGAGTTTTGGAGTCCTGGGCCTTAACCGAAAAGACAGAAATCGTTCGCAAGACAAACCTTTATTCTATCAAATTGTCCTTAGGCGAGAGTGTGGGGGTATGTGTGACAGAGAATTGCTTCCTAACAATACAAACCAATAGGGGCAGTGAAAATTTTAAGGCATGGATTAATTTGTTTAATACAAAATTTCAAGACGGCTATTATGAAGGTTCTGAATTACTAAAACTCCAAGCGTCTGTATACCTGTCATTCATGCATTTCAACGTTAATGATGAATGTAAAAATTCGTCAAATTAAGGATATTTTCTCTCCTCTCTGCAGTTGGATGTTCTCTTACCTGTGAGAACGGAGGGAGCTGTAATACCGCAGGCGATGCATGTGAATGTGTAGCGGGATTTACTGGAGACTTGTGTACAGGTATGAAAATCTATTGTAGCATCAGAAATTTAACGTCAAGAAATGGTTTGTTTTCAAAGGGAATTAATTGACGAGTAATAAAAACGATGATTTCAGTCATGATATACGCTAATATCGTGCTCTTAACCTCTGCATATGTGTCAAAATCAACATTTATAACTATCAAACACAGCAATCACCCCCCCCCTCCCCTTTCCCAAAAATTGAGTGGGCTAAAGTTTGGGTAAAGCCAACCTACAAGTTAATTTGACAGTGTTTAATATATTCTAAATATTCATTCTAAATATGTTTACTCTATATTATTTTGATATGTTATTATCGTCATTCATGCATTTTCAACTGAACGGTGAATGTAAAGATTCGTCATGAATTGAATGATATTCATATAATATTGGATCGCTTTGAGTGTGATACAAGAATATATTGCTCAAGCTTCGACAATATTGGACGAGTCGAAGACAAGTCCAATATTAACATAACTAGAGCAATATAATAAATTGCAGATGAGTGGCAATAGGCTCGACGTGTGCCTACGAAGAATTCAGATGAAAGTAGAACAGTAAAACAAACAATTAAATGCAGTTAGGTGAAAGAGCAAGAGAGGATGTTTAATGAAATAAATGGGGGCTGTTTGAATTTTCAAGAATAAAATTACAATTTTCTACTCGGCTGGAGGGCAATCATAAAGGTTGTAGACTAATGTTAGACTTAATTAAGAGCGTCCGGTGGCTCCTTCCCCTGGACGCCCGATAACTTAGGCATCTGCCACTGCTACACGACATGGGCCATGTGGGCCTTTAATAGGAGTTTTGGAGTCCTGGGCCTTAACCGAAAAGACAGAAATCGTTCGCAAGACAAACCTTTATTCTATCAAATTGTCCTTAGGCGAGAGTGTGGTGGTATGTGTGACAGAGAATTGCTTCCTAACAATATAAACCAATAGGGGCAGTGAACATTTCAAGGCATGGATTAATTTGTTTAATACAAAATTTCAAGACGGCTATTATGAAGGTTCTGAATTACTAAAACTCCAAGCGTCTGTATACCTGTCATTCATGCATTTCAACGTGAATGACGAATTAAGGATATTTTCTCTCCTCTCTGCAGTTGGATGTTCTCTTACCTGTGAGAACGGAGGGAGCTGTAATACCGCAGGCGATGCATGTGAATGTGTAGCGGGATTTACTGGAGACTTGTGTACAGGTATGAAAATCTATTGTAGCATCAGAAATTTAATGTCAAGAAATGGTTTGTTTTCAAAGGGAATTAATTGACGAGTAATAAAAACGATGATTTCAGTCATGATTATACGCTAATATCGTGCTCTTAAACTCTGCATATATGTCAAAATTAACATTTATAACTATCAAACACAGCAATCACCCCCCTCCCCTCTCCCAAAAATAGAGTGGGCTAAAGTTTGGGGAAAGCCAACCTACATGTTAATTTAACAGTGTTTAATATATTCTATATATTCATTCTAAATATGTTTACTCTATATTATTTTGATATATTATTATCGTCATTCATGCATTTTCAACTGAACGGTGAATTTAAAGATTGGTCATGAATTGAATGATATTCATATAATATTGAATCGCTTTGAGTGTGATACAATAATATATTGCTCGAGGTTCGACAATATTGGACGAGTGGAAGAAGAGTCCAATATTAACATAACTAGAGCAATATAATAAATTGCAGATGAGTGGCAATAGGCTTAACGTGTGCCTACGAAGAATTCAGATGAAAGTAGAACAGTAAAACAAACAATTAAATGCAGTTAGGTGAAAGAGTAAGAGAGGATGTTTAATGAAATAAATGGGGGCTATTTGAATTTTCAAGAATAAAATTACAATTTTCTACTCGGCGGGAGGGCAATCATAAAGATTGTAGACTAATGTTAGACTTAATTAAGAGCGTCCGGTGGTTCCTTCCCCTGGACGCCCGATAACTTAGGCATCTGCCACTGCAACACAACATGGGCCATGTGGGCCTTTAATAGGGGTTTTGGAGTCCTGGGCCCGAAAAGAAAGAAATCGTTCGCAAGACAAACCTTTATTCTATCAAATTGTCCTTAGGCGAGAGTGTGGGGGTATGTGTGACAGAGAATTGCTTCCTAACAATATAAACCAATAGGGGCAGTGAAAATTTTAAGGCATGGATTAATTCGTTTAATACAAATTTCAAGACGGCTATCATGAAGGTTCTGAATTACCAAAACTCCAAGCGTCTGTTTACCTGTCATTCATGCATTTCCACGTGAATGGTGAATGTAAAAATTCGTCAAATTAAGGATATTTTCTCTCCTCTCTGCAGTTGGATGTTCTCTTACCTGTGAGAACGGAGGGACCTGTAATACCGCGGGCGATGCCTGTGAATGTGTAGCGGGATTTACTGGAGACTTGTGTTCAGGTATGAAAATCTATTGTAGCATCAGAAATTTAACGTCAAGAAATGGTTTGTTTTCAAAGGGAATTAATTGACGAGTAATAAAAACGACGATTTCAGTCATGATATACGCTAATATCGTGCTCTTAACCTCTGCATATATGTCAATATTAACATTTATAACTATCAAACACAGTCATCACCCCCCCCCCCTCTCCCAAAAATAGAGTGGGCTATAGTTTGGGGAAAGCCAACCTACATGTTAATTTAACAGTGTTTAATATATTCTAAATATTCATTTTAAATATGTTTACTCTATATTATTTTGATATATTATTATCGTCATTCATGCATTTTCAACTGAACGGTGAATTTAAAGATTCGTCATGAATTGAATGATATTCATATAATATTGGATCGCTTTGAGTGTGATACAAGAATATATTGCTCGAGCTTCGACAATATTGGACGAGTCGAAGACGAGTCCAATATTAACATAACTAGAGCAATATAATAAATTGCAGATGAGTGGCAATAGGCTCGACGTGTGCCTACGAAGAATTCAGATGAAAGTAGAACAGTAAAACAAACATTTAAATGCAGTTAGGTGAAAGAGTAAGAGAGGATGTTTAATGAAATAAATGGGGGCTGTTTGAATTTTAAAGAATAAAATTACAATTTTCTACTCGGCGGGAGGGCAATCATAAAGGTTGTAGACTAATGTTAGACTTAATTAAGAGCGTCCGGTGGCTCCTTCCCCTGGACGCCCGATAACTTAGGCATCTGCCACTGCTACACGACATGGGCCATGTGGGCCTTTAATAGGAGTTTTGGAGTCGTGGGCCTTAACCGAAAAGACAGAAATCGTTCGCAAGACAAACCTTTATTCTATCAAATTGTCCTTAGGCGAGAGTGTGGGGGTATGTGTGACAGAGAATTGCTTCCTAACAATATAAACCAATAGGGGCAGTGAACATTTCAAGGCATGGATTAATTTGTTTAATACAAGTTTCAAGACGGCTATTATGAAGGTTCTGAAAATCTAAAACTCCAAGCGTCTGTATACCTGTCATTCATGCATTTCAACGTGAATGACGAATTAAGGATATTTTCTCTCCATTCTGCAGTTGGATGTTCTCTTACCTGCGAGAACGGAGGGAGCTGTAATACCGCAGGCGATGCATGTGAATGTGTAGCGGGATTTACTGGAGACTTGTGTACAGGTATGAATATTCAACACACTATGTATGCAGACGACACCCAGATTTATGTAACTCTTCACCCAAACAGCAGGACAGTAGCCGCGAACAAACTCACCAGTTGCCTCAATGAAATCAAAACCTGGTCTTTTCAAAACTGTCTCTGCCTTAATGATTCAAAATCTGAAATGATTCATATTACTTCTAAATTTCGGAACTCAGACCCCTTTCCTGATCTTGTTATGAGTGATGGCTCTCTCAGTTGTTGTGCTTCTGTGCGTGACCTTGGTTTAAATATTGACAGCAATCTTACTTTCAAACAACACATTAGTAATATTTGTAAGTCTGCTTCATTTGGTATATATAAGATCAGTAGAATCAGGAGGCTACTTGACCGACCCACAACTTCAAAATTAGTCCATGCTTTTGTCTCGACCCATATCGATTACTGTAATTCTTCTCTTTCTGGCCTCCCTCAGTCACATCTAGTCCCACTTCAAAGGGTACAGAATAGCGCTGCTCGGCTTGTGACTCTCTCGCGTAAATCAGAGCACATAACTCCAATATTGAACTCACTACATTGGCTTAAAATTCACCACCGCATATCCTTCAAAATTCTTCTCCTGTGCTACAAAGCTATCAATGGCTTAGCCCCCTCTTACCTTTCCGATCTCATATCCTTACGTTCCCGTACGTCGTCACGAACACTTCGTTCATCTTCCACATTACTGTTAACACCTGGACCCCGCACTAACACCCGGTATGGTGACCGCGCCTTTCCAGTTATTGCCCCCGCTCTCTGGAACAAACTGCCCGCCTTTATTCACTGCGCCCCCTCTGTATCTCAATTCAAATCTCTACTCAAAACCTATCTTTTCAAATTGTAAATTGCAGTTGTGCGTCGGTCAATGGAGGTGCGCACCATATTTGTCTTTATTTAGTTGATTGCCACTGTTTTTCTTACCTAATCTATGTTACTTTTGTATTTTTGCTTTTTCTTCTAATTTAATTCTACGGGTTATAGTCTTCTCTTAATCAGAACACTGTGCGCTTAGAAACATCAGTATTAAGCGCCTAATAAATGTTATGTATTATTATTATTATTATTGTAGCATCAGAAATTTAACGTCAAGAAATGGTTTGTTTTCAAAGGGAATTAATTGACGAGTAATAAAAACGATGATTTCAGTCATGATATACGCTAATATCGTGCTCTTAACCTCTGCATATGTGTCAAAATCAACATTTATAACTATCAAACACAGCAATCACCCCCCCCCTCCCCTTTCCCAAAAATTGAGTGTGCTAAAGTTTGGGGAAAGCCAACCTACATGTTAATTTGACAGTGTTTAATATATTCTAAATATTCATTCTAAATATGTTTACTCTATATTATTTTGATATATTATTATCGTCATTCATGCATTTTCAACTGAACGGTGAATTTAAAGATTGAATGAATTGAATGATATTCATATAATATTGAATCGTTTTGAGTGTGATACAATAATATATTGCTCGAGGTTCGACAATATTGGACGAGTGGAAGAAGAGTCCAATATTAACATAACTAGAGCAATATAATAAATTGCAGATGAGTGGCAATAGGCTCAACGTGTGCCTACGAAGAATTCAGATGAAAGTAGAACAGTAAAACAAACAATTAAATGCAGTTAGGTAAAAGAGTAAGAGAGGATGTTAAATGAAATAAATGGGGGCTGTTTGAATTTTCAAGAATAAAATTACAATTTTCTACTCGGCAGAAGGGCAATCTTAAAGGTTGTAGATTAATGTTAGACTTAATTAAGAGTGTCCGGTGGTTCCTTCCCCTGGACGCCCGATAACTTAGGCATCTGCCACTGCAACACGACATGGGCCATGTGGGCCTGTAATAGGGGTTTTTGAGTCCTGGGCCTTAACCGAAAAGACAGAAATCGTTCGCAAGACAAACCTTTATTCTATCAAATTGTCCTTAGGCGAGAGTGTGGAGGTATTTGTGACAGAGAATAGCTTCCTAACAATATAAACCAATAGGGGCAGTGAACATTTTAAGGCATGGATTAATTTGTTTAATACAAATTTCAAGATGGCTATTATGAAGGTTCTGAATTACTTAAACTCCAAGCGTCTGTATACCTGTCATTCATGCATTTCAATGTGAATGATGAATGTAAATATTCGTCAAATTAAGGATATTTTCTCTCCTCTCTGCAGTTGGATGTTCTCTTACCTGTGAGAACGGAGGGAGCTGTAATACCGCAGGCGATGCATGTGAATGTGTAGCGGGATTTACTGGAGACTTGTGTACAGGTATGAAAATCTATTGTAGCATCAGAAATTTAATGTCAAGAAATGGTTTGTTTTCAAAGGGAATTAATTGACGAGTAATAAAAACGATGATTTCAGTCATGATTATACGCTAATATCGTGCTGTTAACCTCTGCATATATGTCAAAATTAACATTTATAACTATCAAACACAGCAATCACCCCCCTCCCCTCTCCCAAAAATAGAGTGGGCTAAACTTTGGGGAAAGCCAACCTACATGTTAATTTAACAGTGTTTAATATATTCTAAATATTCATTCTAAATATGTTTACTCTATATTATTTTGATATATTATTATCGTCATTCATGCATTTTCAACTGAACGGTGAATTTAAAGATTGGTCATGAATTGAATGATATTTATATAATATTAGATCGCTTTGAATGTGATACAAGAATACATTGCTCGAGCTTCGAGCAATATAACTAGAGCAATATAATAAATTGCAGATGAGTGGCAATAGGCTCGACGTGTGCCTACGATGAATTCAGATGAAAGTAGAACAGTAAAACAAACAATTAAATGCAGTTCTATGAAAGAGTAAAAGAGGATGTTAAATGAAATAAATGGGGGCTGTTTGAATTTTCAAGAATAAAATTGTAATTTTCTACTCGGCAGAAGGGCAATCTTAAAGGTTGTAGATTAATGTTAGACTTAATTAAGAGCGTCCGGTGGTTCCTTCCCCTGGACGCCCGATAACTTAGGCATCTGCCACTGCTACACGACATGGGCCATGTGGGCCTTTAATAGGAGTTTTGGAGTCGTGGGCCTTAACCGAAAAGACAGAAATCGTTCGCAAGACAAACCTTTATTCTATCAAATTGTCCTTAGGCGAGAGTGTGGGGGTATGTGTGACAGAGAAATACTTCCTAACAATATAAACCAATAGGGGCAGTGAACATTTTAAGGCATGGATTAATTTGTTTAATACAAATTTCAAGACAGCTATTATGAAGGTTCTGAATTACTAAAACTCCAAGCGTCTGTATACCTGTAATTCATGCATTTCAACGTTAATGATGAATGTAAAAATTCGTCAAATTAAGGATATTTTCTCTCCTCTCTGCAGTTGGATGTTCTCTTACCTGTGAGAACGGAGGGAGCTGTAATACCGCAGGCGATGCATGTGAATGTGTAGCGGGATTTACTGGAGACTTGTGTACAGGTATGAAAATCTATTGTTGCATCAGAAATTTAACGTCAAGAAATGGTTTGTTTTCAAAGGGAATTAATTGACGAGTAATAAAAACGATGATTTCAGTCATGATATACGCTAATATCGTGCTCTTAACCTCTGCATATGTGTCAAAATCAACATTTATAACTATCAAACACAGCAATCACCCCCCCTCCCCTTTCCCAAAAATTGAGTGGGCTAAAGTTTGGGGAAAGCCAACCTACATGTTAATTTGACAGTGTTTAATATATTCTAAATATTCATTCTAAATATGTTTACTCTATATTATTTAGATATATTATTATCGTCATTCATGCATTTTCAACTGAACGGTGAATTTAAAGATTGGTCATGAATTTAATGATATTCATATAATATTGAATCGCTTTGAGTGTGATACAATAATATATTGCTCGAGGTTTGACAATATTGGACGAGTGGAAGAAGAGTCCAATATTAACATAACTAGAGCAATATAATAAATTGCAGATGAGTGGCAATAGGCTCAACGTGTGCCTACGAAGAATTCAGATGAAAGTAGAACAGCAAAACAAACAATTAAATGCAGTTAGGTGAAAGAGTAAAAGAGGATGTTAAATGAAATAAATGGGGGCTGTTTGAATTTTCAAGAATAAAATTGTAATTTTCTACTCGGCAGAAGGGCAATCTTAAAGGTTGTAGATTAATGTTAGACTTAATTAAGAGCGTCCGGTGGTTCCTTCCCATGGACGCCCGATAACTTGGGCATCTGCCACTGCAACACAACATGGGCCATGTGGGCCTTTAATAGGGGTTTTGGAGTCCTGGGCCCGAAAAGACAGAAATCGTTCGCAAGACAAACCTTTATTCTATCAAATTGTCCTTAGGCGAGAGTGTGGGGGTATGTGTGACAGAGAATTGCTTCCTAACAATATAAACTAATAGGGGCAGTGAACATTTTAAGGCATGGATTAATTTGTTTAATACAAATTTCAAGACGGCTATTATGAAGGTTCTGAATTACTAAAACTCCAAGCGTCTGTATACCTGTCATTCATGCATTTCAACGTTAATGATGAATGTAAAAATTCGTCAAATTAAGGATATTTTCTCTCCTCTCTGCAGTTGGATGTTCTCTTACCTGTGAGAACGGAGGGAGCTGTAATACCGCAGGCGATGCATGTGAATGTGTAGCGGGATTTACTGGAGACTTGTGTACAGGTATGAAAATCTATTGTAGCATCAGAAATTTAACGTCAAGAAATGGTTTGTTTTCAAAGGGAATTAATTGACGAGTAATAAAAACGATGATTTCAGTCATGATATACGCTAATATCGTGCTCTTAACCTCTGCATATGTGTCAAAATCAACATTTATAACTATCAAACACAGCAATCATCCCCCCCCTCCCCTTTCCCAAAAATTGAGTGGGCTAAAGTTTGGGGAAAGCCAACCTACATGTTAATTTGACAGTGTTTAATATATTCTAAATATTCATTCTAAATATGTTTACTCTATATTATTTAGATATATTATTATCGTCATTCATGCATTTTCAACTGAACGGTGAATTTAAAGATTCGTCATGAATTTAATGATATTCATATAATATTGAATCGCTTTGAGTGTGATACAATAATATATTGCTCGAGGTTCGACAATATTGGACGAGTGGAAGAAGAGTCCAATATTAACATAACTAGAGCAATATAATAAATTGCAGATGAGTGGCAATAGGCTCAACGTGTGCCTACGAAGAATTCAGATGAAAGTAGAACAGTAAAACAAACAATTAAATGCAGTTCTATGAAAGAGTAAAAGAGGATGTTAAATGAAATAAATGGGGGCTGTTTGAATTTTCAAGAATAAAATTGTAATTTTCTACTCGGCAGAAGGGCAATCTTAAAGGTTGTAGATTAATGTTAGACTTAATTAAGAGCGTCCGGTGGTTCCTTCCCCTGGACGCCCGATAACTTAGGCATCTGCCACTGCTACACGACATGGGCCATGTGGGCCTTTAATAGGAGTTTTGGAGTCGTGGGCCTTAACCGAAAAGACAGAAATCGTTCGCAAGACAAACCTTTATTCTATCAAATTGTCCTTAGGCGAGAGTGTGGGGGTATGTGTGACAGAGAAATACTTCCTAACAATATAAACCAATAGGGGCAGTGAACATTTTAAGGCATGGATTAATTTGTTTAATACAAATTTCAAGACAGCTATTATGAAGGTTCTGAATTACTAAAACTCCAAGCGTCTGTATACCTGTAATTCATGCATTTCAACGTTAATGATGAATGTAAAAATTCGTCAAATTAAGGATATTTTCTCTCCTCTCTGCAGTTGGATGTTCTCTTACCTGTGAGAACGGAGGGAGCTGTAATACCGCAGGCGATGCATGTGAATGTGTAGCGGGATTTACTGGAGACTTGTGTACAGGTATGAAAATCTATTGTTGCATCAGAAATTTAACGTCAAGAAATGGTTTGTTTTCAAAGGGAATTAATTGACGAGTAATAAAAACGATGATTTCAGTCATGATATACGCTAATATCGTGCTCTTAACCTCTGCATATGTGTCAAAATCAACATTTATAACTATCAAACACAGCAATCACCCCCCCTCCCCTTTCCCAAAAATTGAGTGGGCTAAAGTTTGGGGAAAGCCAACCTACATGTTAATTTGACAGTGTTTAATATATTCTAAATATTCATTCTAAATATGTTTACTCTATATTATTTAGATATATTATTATCGTCATTCATGCATTTTCAACTGAACGGTGAATTTAAAGATTGGTCATGAATTTAATGATATTCATATAATATTGAATCGCTTTGAGTGTGATACAATAATATATTGCTCGAGGTTTGACAATATTGGACGAGTGGAAGAAGAGTCCAATATTAACATAACTAGAGCAATATAATAAATTGCAGATGAGTGGCAATAGGCTCAACGTGTGCCTACGAAGAATTCAGATGAAAGTAGAACAGCAAAACAAACAATTAAATGCAGTTAGGTGAAAGAGTAAAAGAGGATGTTAAATGAAATAAATGGGGGCTGTTTGAATTTTCAAGAATAAAATTGTAATTTTCTACTCGGCAGAAGGGCAATCTTAAAGGTTGTAGATTAATGTTAGACTTAATTAAGAGCGTCCGGTGGTTCCTTCCCATGGACGCCCGATAACTTGGGCATCTGCCACTGCAACACAACATGGGCCATGTGGGCCTTTAATAGGGGTTTTGGAGTCCTGGGCCCGAAAAGACAGAAATCGTTCGCAAGACAAACCTTTATTCTATCAAATTGTCCTTAGGCGAGAGTGTGGGGGTATGTGTGACAGAGAATTGCTTCCTAACAATATAAACTAATAGGGGCAGTGAACATTTTAAGGCATGGATTAATTTGTTTAATACAAATTTCAAGACGGCTATTATGAAGGTTCTGAATTACTAAAACTCCAAGCGTCTGTATACCTGTCATTCATGCATTTCAACGTTAATGATGAATGTAAAAATTCGTCAAATTAAGGATATTTTCTCTCCTCTCTGCAGTTGGATGTTCTCTTACCTGTGAGAACGGAGGGAGCTGTAATACCGCAGGCGATGCATGTGAATGTGTAGCGGGATTTACTGGAGACTTGTGTACAGGTATGAAAATCTATTGTAGCATCAGAAATTTAACGTCAAGAAATGGTTTGTTTTCAAAGGGAATTAATTGACGAGTAATAAAAACGATGATTTCAGTCATGATATACGCTAATATCGTGCTCTTAACCTCTGCATATGTGTCAAAATCAACATTTATAACTATCAAACACAGCAATCACCCCCCCCCTCCCCTTTCCCAAAAATTGAGTGGGCTAAAGTTTGGGGAAAGCCAACCTACATGTTAATTTGACAGTGTTTAATATATTCTAAATATTCATTCTAAATATGTTTACTCTATATTATTTAGATATATTATTATCGTCATTCATGCATTTTCAACTGAACGGTGAATTTAAAGATTGGTCATGAATTTAATGATATTCATATAATATTGAATCGCTTTGAGTGTGATACAATAATATATTGCTCGAGGTTTGACAATATTGGACGAGTGGAAGAAGAGTCCAATATTAACATAACTAGAGCAATATAATAAATTGCAGATGAGTGGCAATAGGCTCAACGTGTGCCTACGAAGAATTCAGATGAAAGTAGAACAGCAAAACAAACAATTAAATGCAGTTAGGTGAAAGAGTAAAAGAGGATGTTAAATGAAATAAATGGGGGCTGTTTGAATTTTCAAGAATAAAATTGTAATTTTCTACTCGGCAGAAGGGCAATCTTAAAGGTTGTAGATTAATGTTAGACTTAATTAAGAGCGTCCGGTGGTTCCTTCCCATGGACGCCCGATAACTTGGGCATCTGCCACTGCAACACAACATGGGCCATGTGGGCCTTTAATAGGGGTTTTGGAGTCCTGGGCCCGAAAAGACAGAAATCGTTCGCAAGACAAACCTTTATTCTATCAAATTGTCCTTAGGCGAGAGTGTGGGGGTATGTGTGACAGAGAATTGCTTCCTAACAATATAAACTAATAGGGGCAGTGAACATTTTAAGGCATGGATTAATTTGTTTAATACAAATTTCAAGACGGCTATTATGAAGGTTCTGAATTACTAAAACTCCAAGCGTCTGTATACCTGTCATTCATGCATTTCAACGTTAATGATGAATGTAAAAATTCGTCAAATTAAGGATATTTTCTCTCCTCTCTGCAGTTGGATGTTCTCTTACCTGTGAGAACGGAGGGAGCTGTAATACCGCAGGCGATGCATGTGAATGTGTAGCGGGATTTACTGGAGACTTGTGTACAGGTATGAAAATCTATTGTAGCATCAGAAATTTAACGTCAAGAAATGGTTTGTTTTCAAAGGGAATTAATTGACGAGTAATAAAAACGATGATTTCAGTCATGATATACGCTAATATCGTGCTCTTAACCTCTGCATATGTGTCAAAATCAACATTTATAACTATCAAACACAGCAATCATCCCCCCTCCCCTTTCCCAAAAATTGAGTGGGCTAAAGTTTGGGGAAAGCCAACCTACATGTTAATTTGACAGTGTTTAATATATTCTAAATATTCATTCTAAATATGTTTACTCTATATTATTTAGATATATTATTATCGCCATTCATGCATTTTCAACTGAACGGTGAATTTAAAGATTGGTCATGAATTTAATGATATTCATATAATATTGAATCGCTTTGAGTGTGATACAATAATATATTGCTCGAGGTTCGACAATATTGGACGAGTGGAAGAAGAGTCCAATATTAACATAACTAGAGCAATATAATAAATTGCAGATGAGTGGCAATAGGCTCAACGTGTGCCTACGAAGAATTCAGATGAAAGTAGAACAGTAAAACAAACAATTAAATGCAGTTCTATGAAAGAGTAAAAGAGGATGTTAAATGAAATAAATGGGGGCTGTTTGAATTTTCAAGAATAAAATTGTAATTTTCTACTCGGCAGAAGGGCAATCTTAAAGGTTGTAGATTAATGTTAGACTTAATTAAGAGCGTCCGGTGGTTCCTTCCCCTGGACGCCCGATAACTTAGGCATCTGCCACTGCTACACGACATGGGCCATGTGGGCCTTTAATAGGAGTTTTGGAGTCCTGGGCCCGAAAAGACACAAATCGTTCGCAAGATAAACCTTTATTCTATCAAATTGTCCTTAGGCGAGAGTGTGGGGGTATGTGTGACAGAGAATTGCTTCCTAACAATATAAACCAATAGGGGCAGTGAACATTTTAAGGCATTGATTAATTTGTTTAATACAAATTTCAAGACGGCTATTATGAAGGTTCTGAATTACTAAAACTCCAAGCGTCTGTATACCTGTCATTCATGCATTTCAACGTTAATGATGAATGTAAAAATTCGTCAAATTAAGGATATTTTCTCTCCTCTCTGCAGTTGGATGTTCTCTTACCTGTGAGAACGGAGGGAGCTGTAATACCGCAGGCGATGCATGTGAATGTGTAGCGGGATTTACTGGAGACTTGTGTACAGGTATGAAAATCTATTGTAGCATCAGAAATTTAACGTCAAGAAATGGTTTGTTTTCAAAGGGAATTAATTGACGAGTAATAAAAACGATGATTTCAGTCATGATATACGCTAATATCGTGCTCTTAACCTCTGCATATGTGTCAAAATCAACATTTATAACTATCAAACACAGCAATCACCCCCCCCTCCCCTTTCCCAAAAATTGAGTGGGCTAAAGTTTGGGGAAAGCCAACCTACATGTTAATTTGACAGTGTTTAATATATTCTAAATATTCATTCTAAATATGTTTACTCTATATTATTTTGATATATTATTATCGTCATTCATGCATTTTCAACTGAACGGTGAATTTAAAGATTGGTCATGAATTTAATGATATTCATATAATATTGAATCGCTTTGAGTGTGATACAATAATATATTGCTCGAGGTTCGACAATATTGGACGAGTGGAAGAAGAGTCCAATATTAACATAACTAGAGCAATATAATAAATTGCAGATGAGTGGCAATAGGCTCAACGTGTGCCTACGAAGAATTCAGATGAAAGTAGAACAGTAAAACAAACAATTAAATGCAGTTAGGTGAAAGAGTAAGAGAGGATGTTTAATGAAATAAATGGGGGCTGTTTGAATTTTCAAGAATAAAATTACAATTTTCTACTCGGCGGGAGGGCAATCATAAAGGTTGTAGACTAATGTAAGACTTAATTAAGAGCGTCCTGTGGTTCCTTCCCCTGGACGCCCGATAACTTGGGCATCTGCCACTGCAACACAACATGGGCCATGTGGGCCTTTAATAGGGGTTTTGGAGTCCTGGGCCCGAAAAGACAGAAATCGTTCGCAAGACAAACCTTTATTCTATCAAATTGTCCTTAGGCGAGAGTGTGGGGGTATGTGTGACAGAGAATTGCTTCCTAACAATATAAACTAATAGGGGCAGTGAAAATTTTAAGGCATGGATTAATTCGTTTAATACAAATTTCAAGACGGCTATCATGAAGGTTCTGAATTACCAAAACTCCAAGCGTCTGTTTACCTGTCATTCATGCATTTCCACGTGAATGGTGAATGTAAAAATTCGTCAAATTAAGGATATTTTCTCTCCTCTCTGCAGTTGGATGTTCTCTTACCTGTGAGAACGGAGGGACCTGTAATACCGCAGGCGATGCCTGTGAATGTGTAGCGGGATTTACTGGAGACTTGTGTACAGGTATGAAAATTTATTGTAGCATCAGAAATTTAACGTCAAGAAATGGTTTGTTTTCAAAGGGAATTAATTGATGAGTAATAAAAACGATGATTTCAGTCATGATATACGCTAATATCGTGCTCTTAACCTCTGCATATATGTCAAAATTAACATTTATAACTATCAAACACAGTCATCACCCCCCTCTCCCAAAAATAGAGTGGGCTATAGTTTGGGGAAAGCCAACCTACATATTAATTTAACAGTGTTTAATATATTCTAAATATTCATTCTAAATATGTTTACTCTATATTATTTTGATATATTATTATCGTCATTCATGCATTTTCAACTGAACGGTGAATTTAAAGATTGGTCATGAATTGAATGATATTCATATAATATTAGATCGCTTTGAGTGTGATACAAGAATATATTGCTCGAGCTTCGAGCAATATAACTAGAGCAATATAATAAATTGCAGATGAGTGGCAATAGGCTCAACGTGTGCCTACGAAGAATTTAGATGAAAGTAGAACAGTAAAACAAACAATTAAATGCAGTTAGGTGAAAGAGTAAGAGAGGATGTTTAATGAAATAAATGGGGGCTGTTTGAATTTTCAAGAATAAAATTACAATTTTCTACTCGGCGGGAGGGCAATCTTAAAGGTTGTAGATTAATGTTAGACTTAATTAAGAGCGTCCGGTGGTTCCTTCCCCTGGACGCCCGATAACTGAGGCATCTGCCACTGCAACACGACATGGGCCATTTGGGTCTTTAATAGGGGTTTTGGAGTCCTGGGCCTTAACCGAAAAGACAGACATCGTTCGCAAGACAAACCTTTATTCTATCAAATTGTCCTTAGGCGAGAGTGTGGGGGTATGTGTGACAGAGAATTGCTTCCTAACAATATAAACTAATAGGGGCAGTGAAAATTTTAAGGCATGGATTAATTCGTTTAATACAAATTTCAAGGCGGCTATCATGAAGGTTATGAATTACCAAAACTCCAAGCGTCTGTTTACCTGTCATTCATGCATTTCCACGTGAATGGTGAATGTAAAAATTCGTCAAATTAAGGATATTTTCTCTCCTCTCTGCAGTTGGATGTTCTCTTACCTGTGAGAACGGAGGGACCTGTAATACCGCGGGCGATGCCTGTGAATGTGTAGCGGGATTTACTGGAGACTTGTGTACAGGTATGAAAATCTGTTGTAGCATCAGAAATTTAACGTCAAGAAATGGTTTGTTTTCAAAGGGAATTAATTGACGAGTAATAAAAACGATGATTTCAGTCACGATATACGCTAATATCGTGCTCTTAACCTCTGCATATGTGTCAAAATTAACATTTATAACTATCAAACACAGCCATCACCCCCCCCCCCCTCTCCCAAAAATAGAGTGGGCTATAGTTTGGGGAAAGCCAACCTACATGTTAATTTAACAGTGTTTAATATATTCTAAATATTCATTCTAAATATGTTAACTCTATATTATTTTGATATATTATTATCGTCATTCATGCATTTTCAACTGAACGGTGAATTTAAAGATTGGTCATGAATTGAATGATATTCATATAATATTGGATCGCTTTGAGTGTGATACAATAATATATTGCTCGAGGTTCGACAATATTGGACGAGTGGAAGACGAGTCCAATATTAACATAACTAGAGCAATATAATAAATTGCAGATGAGTAACAATAGGCTCGACGTGTGCCTACGAAGAATTCAGATGAAATTAGAACAGTAAAACAAACAATTAAATGCAGTTCTATGAAAGAGTAAGAGAGGATGTTAAATGAAATAAATGGGGGCTGTTTGAATTTTCAAGAATAAAATTATAATTTTCTAATCGGCAGTAGGGCAATCTTAAAGGTTGTAGATTAATGTTAGACTTAATTAAGAGCGTCCGGTGGTTCCTTCCCCTGGACGCCCGATAACTTAGGCATCTGCCACTGCAACACGACATGGGCCATTTGGGTCTTTAATAGGGGTTTTGGAGTCCTGGGCCTTAACCGAAAAAACAGAAATCGTTCGCAAGACAAACCTTTCTTCTATCAAATTGTCCTTAGGCGAGAGTGTGGGGGTATGTGTGACAGAGAATTGCTTCCTAACAATATAAACCAATAGGGGCAGTGAACATTTTAAGGCATGGATTAATTTGTTTAATACAAATTTCAAGACGGCTATTATGAAGGTTCTGAATTACTAAAACTCCAAGCGTCTGTATACCTGTCATTCATGCATTTCCACGTGAATGGTGAATGTAAAGATTCGTCAAATTAAGGATATTTTCTCTCCTCTCTGCAGTTGGATGTTCTCTTACCTGTGAGAACGGAGGGACCTGTAATACCGCGGGCGATGCATGTGAATGTGTAGCGGGATTTACTGGAGACTTGTGTACAGGTATGAAAATCTATTGTAGCATCAGAAATTTAACGTCAAGAAATGGTTTGTTTTCAAAGGGAATTAATTGACGAGTAATAAAAACGATGATTTCAGTCATGATATACGCTAATATCGTGCTCATAACCTCTGCACACATTTTAAAATTAACATGTATAACTTTCAAACACAGCCATCACCCCCCCCCCCCCCTCTCCAAAAAATAGAGTGGGCTATAGTTTGGGGAAAGCCAACCTACATGTTAATTTAACAGTGTTTAATATATTCTAAATATTCATTCTAAATATGTTTACTCTATATTATTTTGATATATTATTATCGTCATTCATGCATTTTCAACTGAACGGTGAATTTAAAGATTGGTCATGAATTAAATGATATTCATATAATATTGGATTCCTTTGAGTGTGATACAATAATATATTGCTCGAGGTTCGACAATATTGGACGAGTGGAAGACGAGTCCAATATTAACATAACTAGAGCAATATAATAAATTGCAGATGAGTAACAATAGGCTCGACGTGTGCCTACGAAGAATTCAGATGAAATTAGAACAGTAAAACAAACAATTAAATGCAGTTCTATGAAAGAGTAAGAGAGGATGTTTAATGAAATAAATGGGGGCTGTTTGAATTTTCAAGAATAAAATAAAATTTTCTACTCGGCAGAAGGGCAATCTTAAAGGTTGTAGATTAATGTTAGACTTAATTAAGAGCGTCCGGTGGTTCCTTCCCCTGGACGCCCGATAACTTAGGCATCTGCCACTGCAACACGACATGGGCCATTTTGGTCTTTAATAGGGGTTTTGGAGTCCTGGGCCTTAACCGAAAAGACAGACATCGTTAGCAAGACAAACCTTTATTCTATCAAATTGTCCTTAGGCGAGAGTGTGGGGGTATGTGTGACAGAGAATTGCTTCCTAACAATATAACCAAATAAGGGCAGTGAAAATTTTAAGGCATGGATTAATTTGTTTAATACAAATTTCAAGACGGCTATTATGAAGGTTCTGAATTACTAAAACTCCAAGCGTCTGTATACCTGTCATTCATGCATTTCCACGTAAATGGTGAATGTAAAGATTCGTCAAATTAAGGATATTTTCTCTCCTCTCTGCAGTTGGATGTTCTCTAACCTGTGAGAACGGAGGGACCTGTAATACCGCGGGCGATGCATGTGAATGTGTAGCGGGATTTACTGGAGACTTGTGTACAGGTATGAAAATCTATTGTAGCATCAGAAATTTAACGTCAAGAAATGGTTTGTTTTCAAAGGGAATTAATTGACGAGTAATAAAAACGATGATTTCAGTCATGATATACGCTAATATCGTGCTCATAACCTCTGCACACATTTTGAAATTAACATTTATAACTATCAAAAACAGCCATCACCCCCCCCCCCCCCTCTCCAAAAAATAGAGTGGGCTATAGTTTGGGAAAAGCCAACCTACATGTTAATTTAACAGTGTTTAATATATTCTAAATATTCATTCTAAATATGTTTACTCTATATTATTTTGATATATTATTATCGTCATTTATGCATTTTCAACTGAACGGTGAATTTAAAGATTCGTCATGAATTAAATGATATTCATATAATATTGGATCGTTTTGAGTGTGATACAAGAATATATTGCTCGAGCTTCGACAATATTGGACGATTGGGAGACGAGTCTAATATTAACATAACCAGAGCAATATAATAAATTGCAGATGAGTTGCAAAAGGCTCGACGTATGCCTACGAAGAATTCAGATGAAAGTAGAACAGTAAAACAAACAATTAAATGCAGTTCTATGAAAGAGTAAGAGAGGATGTTTAATGAAATAAATGGGGGCTGTTTGAATTTTCAAGAATAAAATTACAATTTTCTACTCGGCTGGAGGGCAATCTTGAAGTTGTAGATTAATTGTTAGACTTAATTAAGAGCGTCCGGTGGTTCCTTCCCCTGGACGCCCGATAACTTAGGCATCTGACACTGCAACACGACATGGGCCATGTGGGCCTTTAATAGGGGTTTTGGAGTCATGGGCCTTAACCGAAAAGATAGAAATCGTTCGCAAGACAAACCTTTATTCTATCAAATTGTCCTTAGGCGAGAGTGTGGGGGTATGTGTGACAGAGAATTGCTTCCTAACAATATAAACTATTAGAGGCAGTGAAAATTTAAAGGCATGGATTAATTTGTTTAATACAAATTTCAAGACGGCTATTATGAAGGTTCTGAATTACTAAAACTCCAAGCGTCTGTATACCTGTCATTCATGCATTTCCACGTGAATGGTGAATGTAAAAATTCGTCAAATTAAGGATATTTTCTCTCCTCTCTGCAGTTGGATGTTCTCTTACCTGTGAGAACGGAGGGACCTATAATACCGCGGGCGATGCATGTGAATGTGTAGCGGGATTTACTGGAGACTTGTGTACAGGTATGAAAATTTATTGTAGCACCAGAAATTTAACGTCAAGAAATGGTTTGTTTTCAAAGGGAATTAATTGACGAGTAATAAAAACGATGATTTCCGTCATGATATACGCTAATATCGTGCTCTTAACCTCTGCATATATGTCAAAATTAACATTTATAACTATCAAACACAGCCATCACCCCCCCCCCCCTCTCAAAAAAATAGAGTGGGCTAAAGTTTGGGGAAAGCCAACCTACATGTTAATTTAACAGTGTTTAATATATTCTAAATATTCATTCTAAATATGTTTACTCCATATTTTTTTGATACATTATTATCGTCTTTCATGCATTTTCAACTGAACGGTGAATTTAAAGATTCGTCATGAATTGAATGATATTCATATAATATTGGATCGCTTTGAGTGTGATACAAGAATATATTGCTCGAGCTTCAACAATATTGGACGAGTGGAAGACGAGTCCAATATTAACATAACTAGAGCAATATAATAAATTGCAGATGAGTGGCAATTGGCTCGACGTGTGCCTACAAAGAATTCAGATGAAAGTAGAACAGTAAAACAAACAATTAAATGCAGTTCTATGAAAGAGTAAGAGAGGATGTTTAATGAAATAATTGGGGGCTGTTTGAATTTTCAAGAATAAAATTACAATTTTCTACTCGGCGGGAGGGCAATCGTGAAGGTTGTAGATTAATTGTTAGACTTAATTGAGAGCGTCCGGTGGCTCCTTCCCCTGGACGCCCGATAACTTGGGCATCTGCCACTGCAACACGACATGGGCCCTGTGGGCCATTAATTGGGGTGTTGGAGTCCTGGGCCTTTACCGAAAAGATAGAAATCGTTCCCAAGACAAACCTTTATTATATAAAATTTTCCTTAGGAGAGAGTGTGGTGGTAGGTGTGACAGAGAATTGCTTCCTAACAATATAAACCAATAGGGGCTGTTAAAATGTAAAGGCATGAATTAATTTGTTTAATACAAATTTCAAGACGGCTATTATGAAGGTTCTGAATTACTAAAACTCCAAGCGTCTATAGAGAGTTGGGTGCAGGTATGAAAATCTATTGTAGCATCGGGATTTAAAGTCGAGAAATCTTTTGGTTTTAAAGGAAATTAATTGACACGTAATGATAACGATGATTTAAGCCATGATATACGCTAATATCGTGCACTTAACCCCTTTATATATATCAAAATCAACATTTTAACTTTCAAACACTTCCAACCCCCCCCCCGCACTTTATTTATTTTTGTATTAATAGTTTTAGAAACTAAGTAGATTTTTTCCTCAATTGTCATTAATTTGCATTTAAAAACCATTTTTACTTGATCTTCCTGTTAAATGCTAAATATAGACAAATCTGACAACATGGAAATTATTTTCTTGTCACTTTCATTCCAATGATTATCATTGAAACTCAATATGCACAGATTTCGACGAATGTGCTTCCGGTCCGTGTATGGCTAATGAAGATTGTACTGATGGAGTGAACATGTATACTTGTGCCTGCTCTGATGGTTTTAGTGGGACTCCGTGTGCAGGTAAGCTATCAAGCCAAAGCAGATTACATACAAACACCTGCCAATCATACCAGCCTCACGCTACCACCTTGTGAGCTCGAAAGTGCCTAGAACCCCCCCCCCAAAAAAAAAAAAAAAAAAAAAAACCCTGCAGAATCCATCGTAGACAGAAGCAGTGAAGTCCACGGCCAGTTGTGACCATGGCATGCATTATGCTGAAAGTCAGAGTGTTTGCGGCAACACCTTTCATGCTTCGTATCAGAGTCAAATTTAACTCACGGTTTTCATCTTCACTCGATCAACAGTGAAAAGTCACAATGTTAATTTAGTTTAATGGCCTTCTTATGCCTCCGTTACAAAGTAGTCGGAGGCATTATGTTTTCGGGTTGTCCGTCCGTCCGTCCGTACGTCCCGTTCTCGTGATCGCGTTATCTGAAGAACCGATTGATGGATTCCTGCCAAACTTTGGTCATGTATGTATCTTGCAAAGCCGATGAACTGATTAGATTTGGGGGTCACAAGGTCCAAGGTCAAAGGTCACAGGGCTCATTATGTATGCAAAAACAGCTCGTGATCGCGTTATCTCAAGAACCGATTGATGGATTTCTGCCAAACTTTGGTCATGTATGTATCTTGCAAAGCCGATGAACTGATTAGATTTTGGGGTCACGAGGTCAAAGGTCAAAGGTCACAGGGCTCATTAAGTATGCAAAAACAGCTCGTGATCGCGTTTTCTCAAGAACCGATTGATGGATTCCTGCCAAACTTTGGTCATGTATGTTACCTGCAGAGCCGATGAACTGATTAGATTTTGGGGTCATGAGGTCAAGGTCAAAGGTCATGCGGCTCATTATGCATGCAAAAATAGCTTGTGATCACATTATCATTAGAACAGATTGATGGATTCCTGCCAAACTTAGATCATGTATGTATCTTGCAGAGCCAATGAACTGGGTAGATTCTTGGGTCATGAGGTCAAAGGTCAAAGGGTCATATATGTATATGAGAAATGGCTTGTAATCACGATATTCTGAGAACTTGTTAATGGATTACAATTGAACTTGAATTTGAAAAATTTCTTCTGTTTTGGTTTGTAAAATTGCTCTATGACGGAGGCATCATTTTCGACTGCGCGCAATTAAAGTTCCATCTAGTTATTTTAGTTGATTCCCAGCGACGGCCCGACGTAAAAAGTAAATGAATCATTTTATCTTCCCAAATTACAAAAGTGTGAATCAAGCTACAGTGTCGAACATAAATGAGAAGGTTGACAAATTGTTAGGCTACCCCGGGTCCTATCGCTAAAAATAGTCCATTCCGTCACAAAATTATTTTTCACTCTTTCTTTTATAACACAAGATGGCGCTATTCAATGAAATCAGCACTATTATTCCGGCCCCTTGATTTGCATGAGACAAGTCGCTGAAAATGTACTCCAAACTACAATTTATTAACAATCTACATCCATAACTTTATGAACAATTTTGAAAAGTGAACACTAATCTTCGTTATGCAACAAACATGCAAAACAAAGCTTTGAGTCTTGTTAATACTTTTGAAATTGAAGGTACTTGCCAACTTATAAACTTCTCTATAAAACAAATATTCAAGTAGTTGCCTGTTTACTATACTTAGATGTTCAAATGATATTGTAATCAATACCAAGTATTTGTTATCTATTCACCAAACACCATGTTCTTGTTGTTCAAACCACTTTGTTTTTCACATAATTTAGACTATAATGTAATTTGTTTTAACTTGACGAATGAACATTGATATTCGAAACGGATCAAACATCACATATTAAGCAACTTTGGGGCAAGTCGATATTTGCACTCTCGCAAACAATGCCTCCTGTTCATTGAAGCGTGAACACATACCACACAAAAATCATACTAAATGATTTGGGATAAAACGCTCTATCATAAGATGTATGATAACATACTGTTCATAGATGATTTATTTTCTTCTTCCAGGACCACATCAAGTTTTGCCAGACAACGATAATTGATTTAAAGAATTTTTTTCCAAGGCCAGATTTTTGAAAATAAAAGACAACTTGCTTTAATGAAGTTTTTTTTCCTGGTGAGTCCTCGATAAGGGGTGTAACACAATGAGATTTTTCCTTCAAAAAATATATCTCTAATGCCACGATTTTCAAAAGGATCCGAACAATAAAGGGAAATATTCAGTTCATTCACTTCATTTGATATATTAAACAGTAATGTTATAAAAGAAGTATCTCTTTCCTCCACTGCCATTAATTGAAATTAAGATACCAGTTCTGAATTGATGTTTCTCTTATCCGTCAAATAAAGATATATTGTCTGTTAAAATGGAAATTATTTTCTCGTCACTTTCTTCTCACCGATTGTCACTGAAACTCCATTTACACAGAAATTGACGAATTTTCATGCAAAAATGCAAAATCTATCATTGGAGAGGAAATTATTCTTAATTTAGAGTCAACACAAGTGAAAGTATAGACAAAATACGGAAATTAGGGCGTTCCACATTTTGGTGCAGTACGAAGAAATACCTTAATTCTCTTGATTTTGAGTAGGCACTCAGAAAAATGGGAGTGTATGGCCAATGGTAGAGCAGAGTTGATATTATGATTCCCACAAAGATCTATGTATATTGAGACTTGTTTATAGTACGATAAGATCAAGTGGCATATTTCATCCCGATCAAAGCGATTCAATTTTAGGCGCTAAGGTGTCTTGAAACTCAGACCGAGTTAAAACTTTTCTGCGTTCATTGTTTTTATATATTTTACCTCCAACAGGAAATATCAATTGCCTTACTTACTTTTTTTTTCTTCCAGGGCCACATCAAGGTTTACCTGACAACGAAAATATTTTTTTGTTTCTTTCAAGGCCACGATTTTGGAATAAATTCGTACAAAACAAGATGAATTAAATTTTTTACTTCATTTGATTTCTTCATCAATATTTTTAGAAATAAAGTAGTTTATTTCTCAAATGTCATTAATTTGGAAAATGAAAAAAACTTTTTACTTGATTTTTTTGTTATCCGCTAAATAAAGAAAAATCTGTCAAAATGAAAATCATTTTCTCGTTATAGAGTGTTTCAAAGAATATGTATGAATATGTGAATACATATATGAATATGTATCTGACAGTGAAGTCTAGCAAGTAAACGGGTTTCCTTGCATAATTTGAATATTAGGACACTGCTCAAGTTTAAATTTCACAGATAGGACATACTTAACATATTCATAATTCCTGCAAAGTTCTACAGGGTCACGGGTATCTTTAATTGAAACAATTTTCTACCAATTATTTAACAGTTAATCGAATATCATCAAACAAAAATTAGTTGGGCTTAGACAGAACTGACTTTGTAACAAACCATATATTATGGATTTCTAGCAATAAACCGACAGAAAAAATAATAAAATATTAATACACTTAACATTTGTACAGCTAGCGCTAAATACTACATTTCTAAGCGCTTAACTATTTCAATTATTTTCACCCCGGTATTTGCCTTCAGTAATATTACTAATCCACACGCCCTCGGGAGTATTACGGCCATGTGCTATTTTACAAGCGTGCTAATGGCAATCTCACCACATTGACGTTCGCATCCTATCAGGTATCCATTTAAGACAGAGTGGCAAATGCAGATAGAGCCGCGGTGGATTCAAACCGCGAACCATGTGATACACAATCCGTTGACATATCCGCTAGACCACTTTTCTTCTATAAAACAACTGTTTGAAAATATGAGGCAGCTTCCAAATGTCATATTGTAACCATGATGTTCCATGCACATCAGCATTTCATGCTAACGATTTATGCCAGGTTGCGTAATTTTGGGGGAAATATTTTAAGGCCATATTGCACTGTGTAAATTATTACCACCCAACTGTCGACTATCAGTGGATTTTGAAAAAACGTTGCGATAGGATCAGATATGGATATTTCAAAAAGTAAATTGTAATTGATTGGCTTCATAAATGGTCAGTGAACATTGACATCACATGGTATTTGAAGACTTTGAAGTCTTCCAGTGAGAGAAAAGGCGACAACAGTTGAAGGCCAGTCATGCCACTGGTTCACTATGATTCACAACCCACCAACCCTTTTTCCAACTTGAAGGCCCACTGTACATTCAACATTATTATTGTCATGGACACTTCGCAACTCAATCAAAAGGAAGTGACATTCTTTTACCTGTCACAGTTACTGTGTAATTTTATAGATCCTTTTCTTTCTAATCCAACTGTAGTCTATCCAACAGATGTGCGATGATTATTAGTATATAATACGTGTATAATTTACTCCATAATTTCAGATGTCCTAATCTATGCCTCTGTGCAATTTATGAGAGGAAGACAATTCTGACATGATTTTCAAGCTTAAACAATTTCAACTTAATCATTGAAGCAGAGAGACATATTTCATCTAAAAATTTCATGTACCAATTGTTGAGCGGAAACTTAATAAAGTATTTTTTTTCAAAATAATTATCTTGATACAGAGTTGAGCTCACTAAGTGCTGCGATCACAGTCAGTGGGGTAGAATATTCAACTCCATTGGGTGACACTTCTACAAATGAATTCATGGATGCCGCTGCACTGTGGGGGGGAAAGGTGAGCAGCTTACCTATTTTTTGTATTCCATCTTTCATATCAATGAACCAATTTATTTATTTATTTATCTATTTATCTATTATTATTACTATCATTATCAAGTATTCAGCATCACCTAGCTGGAAGGTGAAAAGGTGAGCTTATGGTCATATAACCCACGGGTCTCTCCTCCCAGTATTACTGATTGGGATCTGCAGATCGATGGACCACCACACAGGGGTTCCAGCAACGACTCTCCTTTACACGGAGCCTCCATTTAAAGCTCCTATGCACTAGTTTTGCCAGGAGGGCTTAGAGGGATTAGGGTGGTCACTGACAGGTAGTTATCTCATCAACTCAGCTCTCAATGAAGATAAGAAAAAGAGGATCATGGGGACCAACAGGCACCCCTTAGGCATTGTTTTCTATTTAGAGGAAGCAAGTAGCTACAAGAAGTACAATGGGGCTTTAACAGAGTGTTTTCCACTGCAACATTAGGGCGCTTTAGCAACGTGACGGAAGGCAAAGACAATGGGAGAAATTACTCAACCGAGATCGTCCTGTACTATATGCTACCGTTTTCATTTGTAACCTGTTTATAGAGTGCTTTTGATTTTCACGACTGTTCTCAGCCATATAAATAGCGTTCGTAATGTAACCACATTTAATGCATAAGTCTTTGTGAAGTGCCTCAATACAAATTATTTCATTCACCTGATAAGAATAATAGTATTTCAATAGACAGAATTCGAACTGCATACATTATTTTGATCTCGGTTGAGTGAATTCTCCCGTTTTCCTTTGCCTTCCGTTGCGTTGCTAAAGCGCCCTATAGACTGCATCTATGAAACAGGGGAGGGGCGCGTTAACATACAACGCAGGCTTCAGTTATCTGCCTTATATAGGTTGGATCAGAAGATGCTTGTCACAGGTGGTAAAAAAACCTTTTAAAGCTATTGGGCTTCAAATGACTTAAACTGCATGTTATACAGTCTCAGGATGTTTATATTTAAAAAAAAAAAAATTGTTTTTACAATTGCAATTGCCCTTACAGCCGATAGGATAGCGTCCTCCAATTAAAACGCATAATAACATGCATTTCAAATTCACTAATTTACAAACTATAATCAACACAAGTTTTACATAGTTCATCCTGGTCATGATTCACATTAATTTTTGATAATGCGATAACTATTTATTGCTACATATATCAATTCATCCGTTTCTTTCATATGAACAATACAAACTTCAGGTGCTGGAGAAAAGATCGATGTAAGAAGTTCCAATTGAACCGGCGTAAGTTAAATAATCACTTGACTGTCCCACCCTCATTAGGAAAGCAAGTCATTTCAATAGTAAATGTACGATGAAATCACACTATAAAGATGCCTTTTATAAAAATGCCAGATCCATGTGCCTAATTATCATAAATTACCATCACAGGCATCAGTAACATCAGCATCATCATCATCAGCAGCAGCAGCAGCAGCAGCATTTTATATTAACTAGATGTACCTCAACATTTGCTATAGGGGTGATTTCCTTTATTGAAAATTATTTTCTGCTTACTCACAGATCACTGGCGGTTACTGCAATGCTACAGCCGATTCAAGGAACGGCACTGCTTGTCCATTCATGGTGACTATAACAGGATTCGACAATGGTTCTCTGGTAGTTCATTTTACTGTTGTGTTTGAGAGCTCCATGGGTTCCACTCTGAATGCATTTAATATCCAAATCTTGGACGCAAACGGAACTCCCTACGGTACAACGGTTTCTGGCGTAACTCGTGAGTATAACACACACACACATGTTTTTTTTCATACAAAACATAATCTACCACAATGTGGTGTAGTGCATTGTTAAAGAAGGTCCCAATAAAAGCATAGGTCAGACAAATTAAAATACAATCAGACGCGACGAAGTGATACAAAAGACATACAGCCTAATCATAACGCACTTTATATATTTCTTACAACACATTCAGATTATTATTTCAAGTTCTGTATTAATCATTAGATATTTCCTACATACAATTACATAACATGCATATCATATGTATACAGCTTGTCCCAATATATGAAAAGATGGACGGCCATGCATTATGGCTCAAGGCATGGGCACACAGAGGATTTTTTTAATGTTGGGAACCGGGGTAATATGCAATAAATTGTTGAAAATTGTCTTTGTTTTTTTAATTTTATTTATGGAAACTGCCCCCTACCCTAGCCCCCGCTGCGTACAGTCATGGTTCAGTGACAAAGCAATGGCCTCGTAACTGTGAAGCCCAAGGATCAAAACCGTGTCGATGTGTTATATTTGTGCCCTTTTGTGGGGCATTTATCCTCATTACTGTCATTTATGACTTAAGGGCGTAGGTCCCCTAGTTGATAAGCATAGTAGCATACACGTGATTTAGCAGTCACGCAAAACACACATTGTCAAATTATTATTCAATTCATTCAATACAATCTGAGAATGTATACTATTATCTAGATCTATTATTTTTAAATTATTTTAAAAATAATTCCATAAATTTGGGGTAAAACAAAAATATTCCAACTATATGAGCGACAGTGTATGATGATACATAATTAGTATCACCAAGTTCAAATTTTAACTCAAAGGACAACTTCAAAAACATAATGCATCCGCCACATCTCCGGTGGCGAAGGCATAAACAAGATATACAGAATACGTACATACATATGTATATTATTATGAATGAGAAATCTAACAATATTAAATGAAAGAAAAACTGTGATTCGAATTACTCCGAATTTGAAGAAACTCCAATAAATCGAATGACACTCACTTTTGTGTACAGCTGTTGTCAAGTGTGTGGAAACCCTTAGCCGATCTGTTCCCCCAAAACTATGTTCAGAACAAATTGAGAGAACCTGCTGTAAACACCCACCCCAAACATTAACGTTTTAGAAGACTGAAATCAAACGTGTAAAACATCCTACGACTTCGTTGGTCAGTAAATTGATTTATAACAAATTATTCCTTGCATTTTGATTTCCCAGTTGTCTGCGCTGGGGTGACGTGTGTAGACTGTACATCATGCAGCGAAGGTAAGATGCTTTATTTGAAAAAAGCTTGTATAGTTAGTAATTAGATTAGACAGAACATGCTACTTATGCTAGGTCTCATCGTACCGTGCGCTTTTTTGCACATATATATGTGATCATCAAAGTACGTGTTGGACAAACATGCCCATCATTCCAGCCTCCAGCTGCCACCTTATGTGCTCGTAACCGCCTAGAATCCCCCCCCCCCCCCCAAGTGCAGAACACTGCGTCTGACGGAGCGATTTTCTATAGAATCCATCACGGAAGTATTGAAGTCCACAGCTAGCTGTGACCATAAACTGTTCAATATTTAAGAATGCTAATAAATTACGCTGAAATTCATGTCATGAGTCATGTTTTAGAGGACATGTTGGCATTGCGGCAACGCTGTTTTTAAAGCACAATTTATCTAGAATTGTCAGAAAGGGAATAATAAACACGAATGGCTAACACTATGAAAAAAGGATAAAAGTGGAACGAAGAAAGAAGAAAAAATGTTCCAAAGATCAGAACTACATGTAGTATGGAGTTTGGGAGTACTGGATCCTAATTTTAACATATTTATTTAATAACAATAGTTTTGCGATACTATTGAAATATTCACTCGCAAATTTGACATCTCTCTAACCCTTCAAGACTCTGCCCTATTTTCCAAAGGGTATTGGAAACTTTCAGCAGCTACGCCTCCTTCCCCCTTCCTAAATCACCTAATAACGTATAGCTAACATCTCATGTCTTTACATCATAAAAATAATGATACCTTATCAAACTTCCATCACTACAGCGACTACCCCGGTCACGAGAATTCCAGGAGTAAGTGAAATTAAATATTTTAATGCTTCATTGGGGAGAGGCTTTTTCAATGTTATACATGTTTTGTGTAGCTGTGTATAATGTCTTTACCAACAATAATGCTCTAAGAAATGTAACTCTTCGTTAGGAAGGTCTATGAAAGACATTTTTCATTACAGAACCTTCTCCTTCGTGCTTCAGTTATTGACTTGTTGCCTAAAAAAGTACATTTAATTGTTTATAAAACAAAAGCATTTTGTTCTGAACAAAAAACAGAAATTAAATACTTAGAAAATATTTTAAAATTCTGTTTATATTTTTGGTCGCTAAACATAATTTTGTATTTATATAGTTTTGGTTCACCTTTGATGTGGAACATGCAATGGATAGTATCTGTGCATGTTTAGCAATACATACTGTCCACATATCCAAGTAAAATATAAGTGAATAATCTAATCTTGCAATACCTTTGAAACTAATACCATATGTGCATTACTTTTTCCTTGCAGACTCTTCAATGTTATTCCTGTTCGACTAACTCCATAACGGATGTTTGCTCTACTGCTGATGACCTTGCAAGCGGTTCTGGAGTACTAACTCCTACATGCTATCAAGGACAGCGTTGTTGGGTATTCAAATACTTTGAAATTTACATTTCCTCACAGGGTTTATCTGGCATGTGTATACAGTTTGAGTTGATAAGTGAAAATACAATGAGGATACATCTCTAAATTTGTGTTGTGAAACAGAAGGCATCAATGTATGAAAAGTAAACATTATTTTTCACCTAATCTTATATTGCGTCTTATCTGTTTATTGATTCTGTCCTCATATATATGGGGTAAGTGATAATTTTGTCCACTTCTTTTGGTTTGAATTTTTGTTTTGTTTTTCGCTTTTACTTGATTTTATTTTATCAAAGAAAAAGATAATCAACAAAATCGCAAAGCAAGAGACCAACATTTTTAGTGGGATGTTTTTCAAAAACCAATGGACAACACCTTAAGTTAACTGGATGTGGAAAAGAGCCATGCTATTTATATTTTGAAGAAACTAAAATCAAATGATGACATGAAAATTCTACATTATCGTTTGAAAATATGAATACTGCCACAAACTCAACTGAATATGAAAGATCAAGTTACGTAGCCAAAATAAAAACTTCTTCATTTCTTGCAGACTGATCATTATGAGAACTCATCACACACGGTTGTGTCACGTGGATGCAAAGATGCGCTATGCAGCGACTTGCATGAAGATGGACCTGATTGCTCAACGGCGAATGGTGTTACCAGTTGCACATCCTGTTGTACTGAATCAAAATGCAACGACAACAAATCCAGCTCTGAGGGTCTCACTTCTAGCTGTGTGACATGGCTGACATCTTTTTTCTCAATGGTCATCGTGCTGATCACTTATAGAACCTAAATGAACTCAAATGTCAAAAGCTGTTTCTATTTTAACATTTATTATAACAGGCACAAATTTGCCTACTCAATTCGCAATCAAATTTTGAACACATTGTTTATTGACTTTTGTAATTGATTAAAGACTAATGGTTGAACTAGTACATTTTGATTAATCATACAGAAAATACTAGTATCACTTATAGAACCTAAATAAACTCAAATGTCAAAAGCTGTTTCCATATTACTATTTAACATAAAGGTCAAAAATATTCCTACTCCATTCACAATCATAATGTGAATAGATTGTCTATTGACTTTTGTAATTGATTAAACACTAATGGTTGAACTAGGACATTTCGAGTAATCATACAGGCAATACGACACACATTTTAGCGGCAGATTGGAAGGATTTTTTTAAATATGAAGTTTGAAACATAATTTTTTTAAATCCAAATATTGCAAGCACTTATGTACTCAAATAATGAATTGTATTTCTTAAGATAAAATGTATAACTATATTAATAATCATACTAATAATACTCATATGGCTCCGTTTAGTCTCATTTCACAACGCCCCCTATCGTCAGAGCATGTTCAGAATCAGCAGCCTAACATGTTAGCCTATGGACGTTTTTTAAAAAAATCGTTAAAAATTCATTTTTTGTTCAAACGAAAAGCACATCCACCCCGACGTACGTTATCACTAGCTCTTTCATTGGAGCCCTCATGTCTCATTGACTTTTGAAAGTTCACCCACCGTAATTTTTCAAAATAGGTTGCAAGCTCGTCATTGCCTATAATACACATGTGAAACAAGTCTAAATTTTGGACTCAGTTTTCCAAGCGATTTGAAGATTAAAGGTCGAGCACACGAAACATAAAAAGCATTAATTATTATAGATCACTTCTGCCTATTTCATTTTGTCAATTTCATCCAACCCCCCACCGTAATTTTTCAATTTAGTAAAAGCAAACATTTTGCCGAGGTAAGCAAAAACATGAATATTCATGAACGGTCAGACAATACATCCTTTTAGTACGTAACGTATAGTGAATGGAATGTGCGATGATCCGTGTAGGAGGTAGAGGTCAGTCAGATGACGCACGATAATGCAAAACCATATATCTTATTGGTTATTTATTATTGGCCACTAGCTTGTTAATAAATAATAAAACTAACAATATTTTGATTTAAAACAATCAAAAAAGGTATAAAGGAAACATATAAAAATGTTTCAAACATTCCTTACAACTTAACCATCAGTGTTTGCAAAAGTAAGTAACAGACTTTTGTTTTACAAATAGGTATTGATTGAATAATACATTCATTTGAAAATGATTGAAGTTTTATCAATTTTAGCTTGGGTAAGATTTCTTCTATTGTACATATTTATCACTAGAAAAGTTTAGAATGGCTTTAACGTACCTTTTACATTAAAAACGTCTTAAAATCTGTCCTGAATTTTCTGCATGAAGTTATTAAAACAGCGTGATTAGCATTTTTCAGGAAAAATAACGTTTGATTATTTAATTAGACAAGTTATATCCGTCAAAAAGATGAAACATAAAGATTGTCAAGCGGAAAAAACCCTTAAAATACAGATATAGACATTAAAAATGATAAATAGTTCCTTGAAGTTTTCAAATTTTCTGTAGACATTTGATGTGATATTTATTTTGAAGTGAGTTTTAATAAATTTGATAGAACACTGTTTGGTATTCTAATTACATTAACATTTGAATGACACAAATGACCTGGGTATCAGGCTTCTATAGCTTGCTTCCATGATGTGTTTTATCTTATCAAAATGTAGTGTATATATCAATAAGTTGATGTTTGAATACGTTGATGTAGACCTGAAATGTATGTAAACTACTCACAAGCAGACACATTCTTTCACAGGGATATTGCTAAAAAATATTCACTTGTCACTTTATCAATCAATAGACAGGTTGAACAATTATGAATGAAATGCATTAATTCATTGCCTATTAAAAGAAACTGTTTGAAAGGTGGGACTGGAAATGTATTTTGTAGTCTTGGAATGGTGAGGAAGCTCCATACATGAATGAGGAACTTGGTAAGATGTACAACATCAATGTGATTGTTGCACACATTATTAGCTTGCCGTGTGGCTATGATAATGAAAACTGTATTAAGCACTTCAAATCTGTAATAGTTATCAATACATAAAGAAAGACATTGACAAAATGAAACGAACGGATTTTTTTCATTTTGTTTTCTCCTTTCAACATGACCAAGAATAATTGTACTTTTATACTATTACATCAATGTAAAAAAAGATCAATTATTTGTCCAAGTCTGCGAGGTTAGGGGAATACCAACTGGTAGTGAATTGAGTTTATTGGTTCCTCTAGGAAGAGATATATGAATTGTGCCTACAAACTAAACTATACCGTATACTAGAAAGTTGTTGTTCAGTCTCATATTGTATAGTTACGGATTCTATTTGGATGCACGTTAAGAAGATTGCACCCTGTTTAGTGTTAACAAAAGACTCACATGACTGCAGTGTAAAAATTGTTATGTAATTTCCTAACATTTCTATGGTATGCTCTATCACCTTGATTGTTTTGTCTCAACTTTGACTTTGTTGTTCTCTGTTAAAAAGCTGCTTATCTGTAAAAAAAAGTATGATGTTTTGATGTTGTTGATGCAGAGCTATTTTCTTAATAATTTGATGAAGATTTGAGTGTATTTCATTTTCGGGTTGTACACTATTTAATAATATGTCATCATGCTGAAATTACCAGAGCTTTCACATTGTGTTCTTTGCAATGGATGTAATAATGTATTGTCAAATCATTTTCCTTTAATGTTCTAAATAAAGTTTGGATTGAGGTGTCATTAGTCATAGTTAACGTGGACTTATTTCTTTAGAATAGTGAAACCAAATTTTCTAACTATATCTACTAATGGGAATGAGTACGTGATCCTAGCTTATAATTGGTCTCAGGGATGAAATCCCACAAGACCAACAATGTCGGTCTCACAGGCCTTTTGACATCGTTTTTGAGGGCTCACTAAACCAACAGACCATTAGACCGATAATGTCAGTCTCGTGGACCTCCTGACAACGTTTCGAGGGTTCACCAGACTGACGCACGACGAGACTCATATTCTTTCTTGGTCTTATGGGCTATCTGTCTACTGGGATGACCCTAATATTTTGTTGTTTTGTTTTTGGTAAAATAAAAATTTCAGGTCTTCTTTATTTTTTCATAATAATATAAACATATTCACATTTTAAGCATTTGCCTCCATTTCTGGAGGGATATACATGGTTTTCTAATATTTTGCTCTACCTGTAAACGATGATTTAATAGGTAAATCAGAATATGAAGAAGTCTCTCTTTTGTTCTTTTCTTTTTAAGTTCTTTTCCAACAATGCTTTTGTAAATAGTAAAAAAAGTGCATAATTCAAAATAATATCAACATCTCTTTCCTTCTTTGAATTAAAATCAATATCAAACAATAGATGACATGGTTTGAAATTAAAATTAGACATGAAATATTTCTTTATATCTCTTTAAACTTCATTCCAAAACTTAATAACTTTGTTACAAAAAAAGAACATGTGCATACAATCACCTGTTTGATTACAATAATAACATTGCTCAGTGGCATTTACCTTCCATTTAACAAATTATATGGTATTGCTAACATATTGTACATGAATTTGAAATTGAAATTAATTAGTAACCTGTCTTTAACACCTTTTAACTTAAATAACCAAACATCTGACCAGACAGGTATATATTCAATTTCCAAAGCATTACGCCCAAATTCCTCCGCTCTAGATTCTTTGATTTTTGTTTTAATCAACTCATGATATATTCTTTTAACTGACAACTGTCTTACTGATATCATATCCTCAACCAAGTTTAAAGCATTATATACAAACGCTGTGGATCTAAATTTCATATAATCTCTATGTTCTACATTCATATCTGCAAGTACTAACATATTCCCAAGTGATTGAATCGCTTTTCAAATACATGCATATTGACTATACCACTTAATTTCCATCCTTAAATAATATTTTCGCACTTAAATCATTAACTGGTAGAAAACCTTTACCATCCATTAAATCCTCAACAAACAAAATGTCAGAATTTATATTCCAATAAAAAAGCATTTTACTTTTATACGTTACATTAGTATTCAGCCAAATCATTTCTCTACGATAGCTATCAAAAGTACATGATCGAATCTTTCTCGAATAGTCTACATTGGGATGACCCAAATATGACCAAAGAGACCAAGAGGTCATGGAGCTGACAGCCTATAAGACCGACATATTGTCAAGTTAATATTGATGCCCATGTACATTTTGTTTGACCTAATTGACGTCCGATCAGTCACAGAATGAACGTCTTTGTCATCTTGAAGACTCAGTGTAGACGACCGATCAGTGACAGGATGAACGTCTTGAAGATGCATTAAAAACGTACAATCAAGGCAGGCATGTCGTGGGACTCATGTTCAATTATATTCGCACAGGAAATGTCAAGAGCTCATCAGGCATGTCAAGAATAGCAAACATTTGAAGGATACAGGGATATGAGGATCTTACTCTAGCAAAAAGAAATGGCTGTTTCCATGGAAATTGAATCCTATTAAGTTGACATCAGCTTCTGTGAACCAAATTAAGGAATGTAACGATCGACACAAAATACTAAAACGCAAAATATGAGTCATATAAAATGATATAAATATTTCATCTAGTACTCTCAGCTATCATAACCTGCTCGTTTCGTCTTAACTTTTTCTGTGGATGTGACCACCATTGCCGATATCATGTTTGATAATCAGATACACATCAAGAAAACACTGAGTTTATAAATACCACATATTTGTAATTGCACAACATAGAAACAAACGTAAGCATCTAAAACTTAGTATTCGAGCTTCTAGTTTGATTGCAATGCAATTTGACCCATTTTATAGGTTAGACATACATATTTAGTATTGAAAAGGTATAATAAGATATCGACATTTGTGGAAAAAGGTGGTCTAGCTTTTAATTTACAAACCATTTAAAGTTTCGTTTTGTTTTTCAGTATACTATACAGTTTTCATTCACCTCATAATGCAAAATATAAACATTTTGCATCAGTTGCGGATCCGGTGGGGGCACAGGGGCACATACCCCCTACACCAATTAAAAGAGAATTGCTTCTCACGGAATTTACGGATTTTTACATGTTATAATATGATAAAGCATAGTATCAATTGAAACTATGAAAATTTAAAAAAGGCGTAACAAACTATTAATCATTATTCGTAGCAGTAGAATAGAAAATTCAGCTGCAGATAATGTCAAAACTAAAATCGATGTATAGAGGTCGAAACAGAGGAAAAGAGACAGAATAAAATGAATGCTCGGTATATCATATTTATCATTAAACTGAACATGTGACAACCCTGAGATTACCATGCAATAATCGCTTTTATACAACACCTACGTGGATCCTTGTCATTTGATTGGAGGATTGTTGGTCACATGATATTCAATAGATGTTATATTGCACGGTCGTGCATTTTTGGTTATATGCGCCGTGCATTTTT